TATTCTTGGATCCTGTGGAATATAGGAAACTACCTCTATAACTAGATCATAACTAGATCATAACTACACATCTTAGACTGACGTTCCATATCAGTTGTCTTTTTTCACACCTGAGGAAATGACAGTTGAAGTCTGTTTCCTGTTTATCACAGTGACACTTTCAGGAAATGGGGATGGGGGCTTCTGCTTTCAAAGTTTGGACAATGATGGGATGTCTTTATTGGTGTGCCCAGGCTGGCTAAACACCAATCTGGACATGACTGCTAAAAACACACATGAAAACAGTTTCATTTTTTTTAGCTAGCAAACTCCCCAATGTGTCTTCTGCAGGAAGAAGGATGGTAAGGATGCAGCTAAAAAACAGAACTATATGTTTGCAGAATGGCGGTAATTTTCAGACAACTAAATTGTCCGACAGATGTTTAGAAACCTACTGATCTAAAATTCCCAGGAGGGAAGACAGGTTTGCATAGACTCTGAGAATCACTCAATTTGTAACTGGTTGAGTAGGGATTTGCTTGGTTGCTACATTTTTAATTTACTGTAGGTGGGTTAGATACATGTAGACAAGTAGCTAGATTTAGAATGCTGGTCTAATGAGATGGTTATTTGAGTGGGACTTCTAGTTAGTAAAGTATCAGATTCATAAAAAAAATTCTTCCATTTACCCAACACCAAATCATTCTTACAGAGTTATTCACTGTCAAGTGAGAATTGTCCGGTGACTATCACATTTAAGGCCAAAATAGCTGAATTGGAAGCATAGTTGACGTCTAGAATTTTCCCAGTTTGGCCAATTTGGCCCTACATTTGACTAGAGCCACAGTTTAAATGGCTTTATATCAGATTTGTGGATGGGAACGTTTCTCACCCTTAATAACCCTACAAAATACATAGTTTAGGCAGGAGTGTGTCTCATATTCAGGAATACTAAAAAAGGAGTGTGCGTTTTTTAAATTTTTAGGGTTTTAGGTTTTACGAAAATGATTTTATTTACTGGTCTCTTTAAAAAAAGTGAACATAAGTCGTCTTTGGAACTCTTCCACTTGGGGTATGAGATTCTCAGTATATACCAATTTTTTTTCTAACGATGATTGAATATGGAATCAGTAGCAGCAATTATAAAATGCCCCAGTGGTTGCAGTGGATTCTTGTGGATTTTAGGCAAAGTATATCTTAACAGGTATAACTGGATAAGTTACAGATAGAAGAGCACTAATATTTGCTTAAAGTGCCATCTTTTATGCATGTTCTCAGCAAATATTTAGGTCTTCCTAAATTCACAAGTTAAAGGTAAACAGGTATCTATGTCCCTCATATGTCTCTCAGATTCATTAACGGGACTTCTAAAGCACTTCAGCTCAGGGCCGTCTTACTGCCTGGGCTCGCTAGGGCAGTTGGCCCCATGAGCATAGGCAAAAAAAAAGAGACCAGATAGCATTTCCCAAAAAATGGCACCAGAAATTAAATGTGCGTACAGTAGATACAGTTACATGACTGAAACCAAGCATCTATACTGTACAGCACACTGCATTCTGATATTGCAATAACAATATAAGAATTACATAGAGGTGTCTTGTATCTTTATTGCAGTATAACAGAAAAGCAAAGCCTCCAAAAATTATTTATTGTTGGTATTATATATACCAACCGAAAGGCATATTGCTATCTGTAGTGATCATCATGGTGTTTTATCCTGCCCTTGAGTCATTACTTGACCTCTTGAGCATTGGGCTGGGTATACCCCATTGGCACCAGTAAGCATAAGTCAAACAAATTTGTGAATTAGAATCTTTTATTAGGTTATCAATATGGCATCTTCACCTTTTAGAGAAAGAATTCTCAGAAAATGTGTTATTTCCTAAAAATATCTTTAGCTATTTGAGAAAATATTTAGCCCTGCTAAGATCAAGTGGCTGGAACAAGCAGTGACTGTTCCCAGCTGGCCCACACTACCTTAACAATCAGCATGGAGATGTTTGCACTGTAACGAGAATATACTGATTTCGAGCCTAATTATGTGACAAAAAGTGTCAAGGTCGATGAAAGCAATAGAAATGGCCCATGGGAGGTGCTGATGAATGACAGGTCAGGGTTAAAGTCTGGATTTTTAGAACCACTCCAGTATCACCAGTAAGAAACCTGAGTCCCAACTCAGAGTGTGGTTTTTCAACAGCCATCTATATACACATTATTTTTGCCATTTTCGACGGATGGACAGGACTGGAGTTCCTTGTAAAATTAAGGGAAACTAGAGTCCTTCAGTCGTCTTTCATTTGAGTTTCAAATCGATAAAGATTTTGTTCCTTGCAGAAATGCACATTATGTAGAGACCACACAGGAGGGTGAAATTGTACCCTTCCGCAGAGGACTTCGACTGCCCATCTGTTCCAGAGCATCCAAATGAAAAATGGTACTTTCTAAATAATAGTAGGGTAAAAATAAAAACATTTAATATGCATGTGAGAGGTGTGTTTATGGAGCACATTCCTATCCGGGGCCTACTCTGTGGATCGGCTTTAAATGGACCTCATGTATAAATCCCTCACAAACTGGAACTGACAAATGGGCGCAAGCTCACATTTTCTTATGCTACATAAAATCAATGGTACAACAATAAAAGGTGGACATCAGCATCTTGCTAAGTTGTGTTAAATATCCACTCTGGCACTACATTTAACGTGGGCTGTGGTGGAAACAAAAATATATGAAAAATTGTTAACAACTGTACAATCTATTGCTACACATGTATAAGCATTTTAAAACACCCAAATCGATGTCAAAGAGTAATCAAATAGCTATTTTATATGCTTTTCTAAGGTCTAGTATCCAAAAACTGTTTTTAAATCCTCCGGCACACATTTAGAATCGGATCACATTGTGGTAACTTACCCGGAGTCTGAAACCTATGAAAAAAAAACCAGCATTTCTAAAAACATAAATTCTTACTACACATGGGCAACCTATGTTGCAATACAATACTCTTTCGGTGTAGTAGCTGAGAGTGGGAAGGAGAAATACATTACAGTTAAGATATGCTTCACTCTGTGAGATGACATTTAATTAGATTGCTTGATTACTCCAGTTCCTTCTTCCTGTCGAATTCCTGAATTTTTAGTATCTAAAACTCACCTCCTATATGGCTTGGCATTAAAAAAATTTTTGAAGATCAAGTCTGTCTGGGCTCATTAGCATAACCAGTAGAGCTTCATGGGAGAATTGTGGAAATGATTTCTTTGAACTGCTGTACCCAAGAGGGCTTTTCCCAAAGTATGACTTGTAATGTAAAGGTGATGAAGTAGATTTGAAACTCCCCTGTGGATTAGCCTCCTGCCATCTGATAACAAATCTCCCCTTCTTCTCCCTACTTGTTAACTGATTTCTAAATATTTAAAACTAATAAAATCTCACTCATTCACACATTACTGCTCATGATTATTAGGTGGTGGTTGGGAGGATAAAATGTGTTATTTGAAATATCAATAATAAAAGTAAGTTTAGGAAATGGTTGTAATAGCAAAAAGTGTAAAATAATATATATCCCTCGTTTAATTAGAGCCCATGTTGAAAATATTTAGTGCCTTGTAAAAGTTACACAAAAATTACATACGGTTGCTTGCACTTGACTTGGAAATGGCATCAGGGTAGTTAAAAACATATGACCTTTGAGTGTCCCACTTCCTCAGATGCTGAGAAAGCATCAATTTAGACGCATAGTGCTTCCAGCTGCCCTGAATGTTCCCCCTCTCCCGGGTCAGTATTTTATTTTTGCTGTCTGCCACTATGTTGTGTTTGTGATTTATTTATTGTGATGTTAATAAAGAAGGTGATACTTTAACCATCGTTTCCATTTAAAATAAAAAAAATCTTTATTTTTCTTTGTGCATAGTATAGCAAACAAGCTTGCAGTAAATGGATTAAGTAGAGCGAGGAATCAGCTCCTGATCAGCTAGGAGGGCTTGAGCCCTTATGGTCTGATAAGTCGTAGGTGTAATATCTTCCAGTAAAACAAAGTATGTTAATTTAAGCTATTAAACTAGGAATCAATTAAAACAGTGCCCTATTGTGTATGGGCTATGTGAGTTCTGAGTCAGGTGGTAACAGCAGCGTACGAGTCCAGTATTGCATGTCACGGGACCAACGGGGTGCTCCCTGCCAGGTCACAGGCCAGCGTTCTGCTTGAGAGGTCAGCATAGAACATCAGAGACATATTCTCAGATTGAAAGGGCAAGTAATCCCTGAAAGCTTGGAGGACTGCCACCTTGTCTTTCCCATTTTGAAAGGTGATTATTAGGTCTCTGGGGACCTCCGCCAGTGCCTTGGCAGGTTTAGGGATCCAAAAGATTCCATCCAGGGTAATGGCCTTGGCCTGTCTGGGAGTTAGCAGGACTGTTAGCAAGCGTCTTATGCAGTGTGGTAATTCAGCCTCTGGGACTTCCTCTGATACTCCCCTGATTTTGAGGTTGTTTTACCATCGGGTGTCTTCTTAAGCCGGTAAGGGCCTGCTGCCTCAATTCCTGTATCTCTCGCTGGATTGTGGCTATTTGCTGTGTGCTGGATTAAGAAGTGCTTTCTAGTTCTCCTATGCGGCCCGTTAGGCCTCGCAGATCACTGTGACATCTGCTAAAATATTCCTCTGCAGGTCTGCAAGGAAGGTCTTCAGGACCGTGGTCTTCACCGGGGAGGCATCTGGACCTGACGGGGCCCTCTGCGCTAAAGCCGAAGTAGGTAAGAAATACTCTTCTGCGTCCTCCGATAACTCCTCGGAGCGACATGCACTTGCTTCCACATGTCTCCTACTGTCAGGGAGGTTTCCAGCTTTGCTTTTTTCGATTTTTGTCTCATTAGGCTCAGGGCTACCAGGGGGGTCCCCCAGTCCGTGTAACGAGGTAATTTATTTGTAAAAACAGCTATGTTCTTCGTGAAAAACCAACCATCGTTTCCATTTTAAGAGGAAGAACGTGGTATGTGAATGTTTTGACGATATTGAAGGGGTCTTTCCTGAATGATGCCTCATGAAAAGAACTATTTGGACAGTGAGTACAATGTATCTACTCATACATTTATATAATTGTTCGAAAGTATTGCTGGGGTATCGGCCGACACTTTGTATTTCTCACTTTTGTAACATAAGGAAAGTGCGACTATGTAGAAGTTAAATTCTGCAGCCTGCAGGTAATAAATCAAATGCTAACTCAATCGGGATTCTTGCAGCACATCCATTCTACATACAACAGGGTAGCATTTTCATGTACTGGTAAGGAAGGTCAAGTGGTGAATGGTAAGAAGGAGAGATAGGCTGAAACTTCTGACTTTCTGAAAAAGAAAATGAATACATTGTGTGAGATGGCTGCTTAGTACAGAAGCAAGGCTAGAGAAAGTTATTTGAGAGGTTTTTAACTTTAATTAAAGCTTTGTTTGTGCCTCTTCATGACTATAATAATGCGTTTTCATGCAAATTTAGTGATACATTTCACCAATATATTGCCAAACTGTGGGGATTATTGCGATGAAATCCACTTCGCCACTGGTTTTTGGAGGGGCCTGTTTGTCAGCCTCCTACCCTGGGACAACCCATGTTCAAAAGTACTGTTTCGGCCCTTAGGACTTTTAACTGGAACAGATTCAAACATGTGGCGGCGGCCATCTTAAACTGTCCAGCAGTGTTTTGTCGTCGAGTGTATGGAACTGTTTTGGGCATGAGACCATGTGCACGGTGGGGCAAAAATAAGACTTTTAGGAAATTCCTGAACCCCTGAACCGATCTGGGTGATTTTTGGATATATTGTTCACCCAGAACGGGGCTATCAGGGGATGTGACATATTGTGGGGATATGTTGTATTTTTGGGTACTTTTTGGGGTTTGTAAAAATATATGTTTTTTCTGTTTAGAGTTAATTGAGTTAGCCCATTGTCTTAATTGTATCACAGGCAGAGGGGAGGGATTGTGTGCTGTAAGTGAGAGTGTCGGACATTGTTCTATTGTTCTGATTGGTTTGTGTCCTTTGTGTGCCTGTGTTCCATTAGGTCCAGGGGGTGTGCCTCTGGCCTGAGGAATTGCATATAAGCAAACCTGTACCAATAAAGCCTCAGACTTGTTCTACCCTTCATGAAGTGTCGGCTCATGTTTGGGGGATTGCAGAACTACCTACACTCTGGGGATTGCTATAATCACTATACTCCCCAGAGTATAATCACTAAGCTCTTTAAGAGCTGTTCCTGTTCTCTGGATTACAAAAGAGGTCTACCTACAGGAAGCTGGATCCTGGTCTTAGGTACAGAGTGGGTGGACGATGGCGAGACCCCAACCAAGCTGCGGCGGTTCGTGGGGTCTGCGGTAGTTATGGTGTCTAGTGGAGTGCTTGGAGCCCTCGGGAAGCACTACGAGCATCTGTCAAATGGAGGTACCCAGTCGGGGTGCCAGGTGATCCATTACAATTATCTATAGTTGATCTTAAAGCTTGTACTATGGCAGGTTTTATACATGATCTGCAGAAAAAATCTCTCAAAAAGGGACACTCTAAGTACAATAACCCCAACATTTGATACAGAGATGCTGTCCCTATTTTTTGATAAATGTAAACACTGCCATTTACCAGAAATGTAGTTACTGCTTCTCATAGAGAAGCATTGTATTCAGCGCTGCAGGTCCCCGATACGTCTCTGTGAAGAACATTGCATAGGAGAAAAGTCTTCAACCCTGATGATTTCACAGAAAGAGAAGTGCATGCAGAATGGAGTTGGAATAAAGGTACGTTTATATATATATATATATATATATATATATATATATATATATATATATATATACACATATACATACATACATACATTTTTATTTTTTCTATTTTAAAAAAAAATAATAATTATATTGTAAAAAAGTGGGCCTGAATCTAACAGAGCTATTCACTAAAGTGAGAATTCAAAGTAAAATTTCTAATTTAATGGCAAAGTAGAAAAGCATGAAGCATTATGAAGCATTGCAGAGTTAGAGAGATTTACACTTTGGCCATTTTGGCCTCAAATGTGAAATTCTCACTTTAAATGAATAAACTTGTAGTCGCATATAGAAACACAATAACGTTAGAAATAAAACACATTTACCTTTAACTGTAGATTGCTCCTTTAATAATAAATAAATCACCTCCTCCCCCATTTTGTTGCCGCTAGCACACAGTGATTTATATCTGTTGGGAATCCTTAATACACAAATGCCAGAACTAATAATGTTCTATTGTTTCTCACGGAGACACTTTTATACATAACCCTCAGTATCTTTATTGTACTGTTCAGCAGCTATTACATACCGCAGAATGAAAACATAATTGCACATTACTCTAAGGCTGTGTTTTGAAACAATCACAGTTTAACAAGAAATCCAGCTGGTACCTAAGATGACAGAACACCATTCCTTTATAAAGGGATAACGTGTGGAGAAAATAAATAAATAAAATACTGGGAATGGCCAGGATAAAAACACTGAAATGAAAGCTTTCAGAAACGGCAAGGTCCTGCACTGGAAACATGAAGGCTCCTTCTGTCCCCACAAACTGGAGTCAGGTTGCTGAATGTTATGTCTGCTGCCGAATTCTGCTCCTACTAATAAGCCGCTTTACTTTGAAGGGGAAGGAAGGAAGAAAGATAAAATGGTTTCTAGGAAAATGGCTGCTCAGTCACAAAACTAATCAGGGCTGGAAAGAGCATATGCGGCGCTTCTGTAGGTGCACGTTAATTGAGGGTGTAGCTTTGATGTAGGAGAGGCTCTGTTAGCCCCGTAGCCAGTATATTAGTGCTTAGAGGATGTGCGTCCTGATTTCCATCAGCCGTGGGTACAAAGCGTTACATTTCACAATGTTCTCTTTCTTTGTTACACGTAAAATGTTACTCACTGCGATCTGAACAATTACATACATCACAAGTGATTATCTGAGATTAGAGACGCTGCTGAATTTTTTCCCATGTGGTCACATATATGCTTACAGTAAACTGAAAACCTAGGCAACGTCACTAATGCATCATTATTTACTAATGCACATTTGGATTGACAGAGTTCAGAGTCCCTAATCTCACAGCGGTGCCAGGACACACATTTCCTGTGCTGCCCCGGATTAGTGAGAGTTATGCCATAACATAGTAGTTGCTCTTAGCAGCTGCAACTATTTTACAATTTTAATTTAGCCTGTTTCCGTTACTAAATTCTATGTCGGGAGAGGAACTGGGAAGACAAAAACAACAGAAATCTGTCTCCCCAACTCCTGTCTCAACATTATTCAGAAATGGAATGAATTGAAATAATGGAACTGCAAGTCTCACCAATCTCAGACAGACTCACAGTGTTATTTACTAAAGTGGGAATTCAAAGTTAATTTTAAATTTAAGGCCAGAGTAGCCGAATTGAAAACATAGCTTACATCACTTTGAATTGTGAGAATTATACATTCATGTGCTGCCCTAAAATTAAAGGGAACCTCTATATATTCTTATGCATAGGGCTGGGGTTGTCTACCTCTGCCATAGCCCTTACAAATTATGCAGTGAATATTAAGGACCAAGCACCAGAACCATTATAGGGCGCTGTTGTGGTTATGGAGCCAGGAGTGCCATAGATCCTCCCCCAATGGAAGTAGTTCCATTATTTACAAACACAAAGATAAAGCACCGCGCTTACAGCAGCAGTGGCTTAGTATCCAACAGCTTAAAATACATAGTAAAAACAAAGAAAACGTTACCTGCGCTCTGGCCTAAATCCCCATGTGCATTTAAACAAAAATGGAGCGTCTTATGCCAACAGTTTGATCTCTTGTAATGGGCTAAACAGACAGGAATTAACAGGACTGGTTGTCTGATTGAAAACTATGGTTAATTTATAAATGTGCCAATTTCTATTGAAATCTTCACTTTTTGCAAAATAAAAAAAAATAAAAAAATCGGATACACGCTTTACACATAAAGAACTTCAGAGAGCTATAGTTTCTTAGAGGTCTTGAGTGTCCCCTTAAGTTCAGGCTTATCTCATTGGCTGAGAGCAGTCAGCTGGGACTTAGCTAAAGAGAGCTAACAGAATGTCCTAGATCTAAGTATCGGAAGAAAAGAGGCAGCGAGTTTTACCCAGTGGACTCCAGGTAAGAGGTCAGAGCGCTGGTTATGGTGCTTGTAGTCTTCCTTCAAGGGATTATAATATCTGGGCCAACAAGGCCAGTGGTCTCACAGTTTATTATGATGTCTTCAGAACTCCTGAAACATAGAATGTGACGGCAGATAAGAACCATTCGGCCTATCTAGTCTGCCCAATTTAAAAAAAAAAAACACTTTTATTAGTCCCTGGCCTTATCTTATAGGTAGGATAGCCTTATGCATATCCCACGCATGCTTAAACTCCTTTACTGTGTTAACCTCTACCACTTCAGCTAGAAGCCTATTCAATGCACCCACTACCCTCTCAGTAAAGTAATACTTCTGGATATTATTTTTAAACCTTTGCCCCTCTAATTTAAGACTATGTCCTCTTGTTGTGGTAGTTTTTCTTCTTTTAAATATAGTCTCCTCCTTTACTGTGTTGATTCCCTTTATGTATTTAAATGTTTCTATCATATCCCCCCTGTCTCGTCTTTCCTCCAAGTTATACATGTTAAGATCCTTTAACCTTTCCTGGTAAGTTTTATCATGCAATCCATGAACCACTTTAGTAGCCCTTCTCTGAACTCTCTCTAAAGTATCAATATCTTTCTGGAGATACGGTCTCAAGTACTGCGTACAATACTCCAAGTGAGGTCTCACCAGTGTTCTGTACAATGGCATGAGCACTTCCATCTTTCTACTGCTAATACCTCTCCCTATACAACCAAGCATTCTGCTAGCATTTCCTGCTGCTCTATCACATTGTCTGCCTACCTTTAAGTCATCAGAAATAATCACCCCTAAATCCCTTTCCTCGGATGTTGAGTCTTGGACTCTATCAAATATTCTGTACTCTGACCCTGTGTTTTTACATCCAAGATGCATTATCTTGCACTTATCCACATTAAATGTCAGTTGCCACAACTCTGACCATTTTTCTAGTTTACCTAAATCATTTGCTATTTGGCTTATACCTTTAAGGCTTATCCTTTATGGCATTACTTTCCAAAAATGCTATAATAAATCATCCATGTGAGTGTGTTTAGGCATATACTAGCATATATAAAATACATACATGTAATACTTTTACATATAAGAAACTGAAATGTTATGAAAATCCTTTTTTTTAAAACTTAAATCTAATAAAAGTGAAGTACCAATCTTTTTACTTACAGTGCTATCGCTAACATACTTCTATATGTACATGTACTAGTATATATATATATATATATATATATATATATATATATATATATATATATATAAATAAACACACACATGCAGTGATAGGACAAGCATTGTTGTGGCAGGTGCAAGTCACACTGATATCACAAAATTACATTTTATACCACACCTCTCAAATGTCACTATTTAGGAGGAACAGTCCCTATTTTGGTGCCAAATCCCTCTGCCCAGATTTCTCTCCGAACATCCCTCTTCTCTAGGAGCTCACTATTGTTAGTGTGACTAAGAGTGTATAACAGAGCTCCACAGCAATAAAATGCACAGTAATAAAACAGAAATAAATACACTTAGAAATAAGATATATTGCTCTTCTTCTAACTTACATTTTAGTTGCAAAAATATTTTTTTTATTAAACTTTAACAAAAAAGCTCTGCCCCTGGCCACCCCCTCCCCTAAATTTAAAGTGTCCCTCTTTGTCCATTTGAAATGTTGCCAGTTATGTCACACACACAGAAATGAAGTAAGATTTCCATGCCTTCACTGTAGCTACAAATTGGTTAAAATAGCTATGATTTAAACGTTTAAACGTGTGAGTTGCAGAAGAGTAATTAAGAACACGGTCATGGAAACCTAGTTTGCATGGTAATCTCTCACTTGTCCATTGCCTTAGATCTCTGGACAATCCTCATCTCTGTAGAAGTCTTTGATGCCCCATCAGTCCTTGGCATTTCTGTCCAGCAACTGGAGTTCCAGCATTCTCCCTTCCAAAACTGATCCCTGTCTGGCTTAAGACCTCTGACCTTAGACCGGAGGTCACTCAGCTAATGCTGCTGAGAAGTTTCACCTGTTGCCCATTCTCTTGTTTACCCCGCGTGCACAGCTGAGGGGGATCCCCAAGAGGGAAGTCCAGGTGCTGGCTGTAATACTAGCTGGTAATTACACTGAGGCTTCCAGCACCCACAGAACCGTAGACACCCACACACTATTAGGGGAGAGCTATGTTTCCTTGAGCCACTGGCTTCAGCAGGACAGCATCCTGATGTATTGCTTATTAATACCCCTGTGCTGAACTGATAACTTTTGGATAGACAAATCCATCACACTGCACTGCCAAACCTGCCAGTTGTCTATGGGTGTGAGGACAGGCAGAGCTTCCTGTGACCAACACTCAACCTTCCGTCCAGAGAACACCTCTCATTATTCATTAAACTGAGCAGGGCTACGTAATTAACAGCCACTCATTAATGGGTACACATATGGTTATAGTATATATACATTATATATGTACATATATCACGCCCATATTCATATAATATCGTTGTGCGTATGTGTATATATTTATACATCCATACAATAATTTTATATTAAAGTTTATCTATCGAAAATATTAAACTGTATTTTCTCTTCTACCTGGCAGATTCAGTTTATTTATTAGAAAATAACAGATAAACAGGGCCAGTAGAGCAGGGTCTTAAGATAACTGTATCCTGCTACTCACAGCAGGGGTCTCCCCTTCCCTTCTTCCCCCTCCCTCTCTGCTCCTTTTTCTTCTGTATCTCTCTTTACTTTTTTTTTATTTGATGAATGATATCTTGTAGATTCTGGGTCTAGCTTGCATTGTATTTAACTAAGCTTGTTTGAGCAGGGCCCTCATCTACCTGTTGTTCATGTGTCACTGTATAATTGTCTTATTAATTTCTAAATTTCCCCCCCTTTCATAAAATTGTAAAGCGCTGCGGAATTAGTTGGCGCTATATAAATACCAATAATAATAATAACTACTGCCAGTCTAATTGCCAATGTATTTGTGTGGCTTGTCTCATAAATTAAAAATGTAAAAAAAAGAAAGTAAAATAAATAAAAGGTCAATGTCTGAATGACAAAATTAATAAATATAAGCAAGTAAACTGAAACTAAACAATTGCGCTATACTTTTCTGGAATTGATCTACCAGGCCAGTCTATTTTGATGCAAAAAAAACAATGCTTCTACTAGACTAGGGGTGACATTATTAGAAGCATAAAACACACCTTTAAGTCTAATTTTTCGGTTGTCATATCCTCCCAAAATATCAAAGGTTTCTTAAATGAAGTGGGTTTATGAAGCAGGGAATTGCACTTCCTTTAACAAGTCTTTCCAAGAAGCATAGGTTTATATATAAACAGGTCAATTTGCACTGTCTCCCTGCATACAGTTGCTTATAACAGCAGTGATGTGCAAAATTCACACAGCTTGTACGCCTGCCTCTTCTCCTGGGTGCTACGCCAACACTTTAAGTGAATTAATTAAAAAAAAAATTTCTTTTAAAACTAGTGATCTCCTTGGCATCCAAAGCCTGGCCCCTCTGCTGCCCGCTGGCACATTGCATCATTTAATCTGCTATTTTGGCCTTACATTTGAAAATTCAAATCTATACAATTCTCAATCTAGTATATAACTCTGTATATATTGCAGTTCTTTCCTACCCTCCATCACATATAGATAATAACACTTATTATTATATGGATTGCAAAAGATATTTGTATTTCTATCCCATCCAGTGTTTATATACTTTATAAAATAACAATAGCAAGTTGAAAGTAATAAAAATAAGAATTTCATTTTTTCCCCTATATTTGGTAAAATTTTAAATATTTTTGTCTTATACCTTTACTTTTATCTGAGGTCCATGTGCAGATCATCCTATGCTACACCCAAAGTTAAGTATAGGTATCAACAGCTACAAAATATACGTTTACCCTTCTCCAAGTAAAATTTTAGACTTCGTTTCATTCCGAATTTCAATTTGTCCAAATTCCGGCTGAAACTCCTAACCGAAACGTAGCTGAATTATGAACCACACAAAAATTCCCAGATTTTACTATTAACATGAGGTAAAGTCATAATTTTATTAAAGACACGGAGGAGAGTATTATGCATATCTCTTTCTTTATTACTCTCAGCAGCAAAGAAGAGAGATGAATAAATAACTGAAATAAACAAAAAAATTGTACAGTGCTCAAGCAACCAATCACATAACACAGGAAGTGACTATAACATGCTTGATGCACCCACAATCCCCCTCTTTCTTGCGGATAACGAAGACCAGTATGTAGAAAATCCAACTTCAGCTAACGTAGCCAACAGCATCTACAACATGGGAAAACACGAGAATTCAGGCTAAAGGGAGACATAGAAAATATATGGTAATATCTGGACTCCAAACTGTAGGTGTATAATGACAAATAAGTAATCAACCTAAGTAAAACCCAAACTCTATCATCTTACAACATTCTTATATACAAAACGTTAGCAGAAACAAAATTCACCCATACATACAATGTCAGGCAATTAAAACATATGAAAATCTCCAAAGAGAAAACTTACCAGATCCATAAACCATACCGGCCTTATTTCCAACCACAACTGGGTGGGTGGGTGGGTGGGAATAATACTCGCCTCCGTGTCTTTAATAAAATCATGACTTTACGTCATGTTAATAGTAAAATCTGGGAATTTTATTAAAGACATGGAGGCTCTTATTATGCGAGTTTAAAACCACTTGAGATGCAAAATGATCAATCGGCCTGAAATAGAAGTCACGAAAAGTCGATTCCCGTGACCAATCTGCCGCACGTAGTATATCTTCCAAGCGACAACCCATTGCCGAGGCTTTGGAGGCCATAGCTCCACGGACCGAATGGGGGGTGAATATGGACGTTTCGATCCCGGCCCACGTCAATAACTCCCGCACCCACCTTGCCAACGTAGAGGTAGATACCGGAAGGTGTGGAGCGCGAACCGAAATGAACAATGGGCACAAGTCTGGAGAGCGCAATGTCTGAGTGGCCTCCAAATATGATTTTAGGCACTCCACGGGACAGAGTGCAGGAGTAGTCTGGAACCTAGGATAGATGAACACTTTTGAAGCCGACTTCGTCCTTCAGGAAATGTTAAAGGAGATGCCTTCCGGGGTAAACGTAATGGCATTCCAGTCAAGTGCTCTAACTTCCTCTTACAAGAGATCAAGCACAACAGCATGATCACCTTAGCCGATAGCTGTTTCAACGTCAGGTCTTGATTCAGGTACCAATATGATAAAAACTGTAGGACTACATTCACGTCCCAAAAGGCAATGAATCTAGCACAGGGTGGTCTAGTGAGACAAATCCCTTTGAGCAGCCTGCATACGAATGGGTGACGCCCTACAGGTGATCCATTTAAACCCTGATGCCCAGCCGAGATGGCGGAGCGACATAAGTTGATGGTGCGGTAAGCCTTCCCAGACTCAAACATCTCGGTAAGGAATTCCATGACCATATGCAAAGGGGCAGATACAGGATCCACCGTCCGTCCCATGCACCAACTAGACCAGATTCGCCAGGCGGATCGGTATGCCACTCGAGTACTTGGTGCCCATGCATTGTTGAGGAGTTCGAGAGTTGATTGCGGAACTCCCGTGATAGTCCAGGGTCCCCTGAAAAGGGCCACGCCATTAGTTGTAGAAGGCCGCAATCCATTAACTCGTGTAAGTTGCCATCCGAATCCCTCAGAAGATTCAGGAAGGTTGGTATCAGCCGTGGGTAATCTGAGGTTAACTCCAGCAGTTGAGGGAACCATGGCTGTGACACCATCGAGCAGTCGTGTCGAGTCAGTTTCGATAACGTGCAAGCTATCAGATTGAATGGGGGAAAAGCGTACACTTGAGCAACCGGCCACTCCTGAAGGAATGCTTCCGTCACCACTGCTGCCAGATCCAGCCTCCAACTGAAGAATTTGGGCACTTGGGTGTTGAGACGGGATGTGAAGAGGTCCATCTCGAACGGGCCCCATACCCGATCCAATCCCTTGAACGCCGCAGCGTGTAAGTGCCAGTCTCCAGAGTCTCTTAAGTAGCGTGAATTCCAATCGGCCGTCGAGTTGTCCAGGCCCAGTATGTGTTCTGCTTGTACAGAGATGTTGTTGTGAAGGCAGAACTGCCAGAAGTCTTTCGCCATGAGAGCCAACATGCGCGACTTCGCGCTGACACGTTGACCGTCCTGAGAATCACGCAACAATTTGCACGCTCGGGTGTAAGGCTGCGAACTGCAAATGCCCTTGCCAACAGTTCCAGGCAGTTGATATGGAGTGTCTGCCCCTGGTCTGACCACCTGCCTCCGGTGGAACCAGTGCCACAACGCGCACCCCAGCCATGCAAACTGGCATCCGATTCTATCACTACGTCTGGGGTGGATCCGAATATAGCTCTTCCGTTAGCTCTTCTCTGGACTCTTCGTCCAGTCTACTCTCATTTCGTATGACTGGCCTGCACGTAGGTGTGAACCCTTCAGCCTTTGGAGGGCCCGATAGTGGAGTGGTCCGGGAAATATTGCCTGGATCGAGGCGGTCAAAAGGCTGATCACTCTTGCCAAGTGTCAGATAGAGAGGTCGTCTGCCCGTAATGTTCGCCTGATTTCCTTTTTGATGGCCTTCATTTTGGTCTCTGGAAGAAACAGGAACTTTTTATGGAATCTACTGTAAACCCCAAGAATTATATCGATTGAGTGGGGTTTAACACTGACTTTTCCCAACTGACTAGGAAACCCAGGCTCTGGAGTAATGACGTCGTCCACATGACATGTAGGCGCAATTAATCTCTTGACTGAGCCATAAGTAGGATGTCATCCAAATAGATGATCAGAGGTACCCCTCGGGTTCGGAAGAAGGACACCACCGGTTTCATGACCTTGGTGAAACACCAGGGGGCCGAGGAGAGCCCGAACGGCAGACATTTAAATTTCCAATGTCTCCCTCTCCAAGTGAATTGGAGAAAATCTCTGTGTTCCTTGGTTATGGGAACCATAAAATAGGTGTCTTTTAGATCCAGTTTGGCCAGCCAGACTGACTCTTGTAGGAGATCCCGAAGGCAATGGATGCCCTCCATCTGGAAGTGTTGGTATTGAAGGAAAGTATTCGTCTCGAGACAGAAACAATTCCCTGGGGACAAAGTGTTGGACAGGCATGGACACAAAATCTATATGGTAACCTCGTACTGTTTGGAGAATCCAAGCATCTGTCATCAAGGCAGCCCATGCCTCGTAAAACTGGGCCAATCTGCCCGCCACCCGCTCTTGAACATAAGGGAAAGAAGGGGTACTCACCATAAGTGCATCTGTCTGACGTGGCACCTCTCGGATAACGGGAAGAATGGAGCTGCTCTGGGCTCCTGGAAAGTTCTTGAAGGGAAGAAGGAGCCTCGTTGAGCTCTAAACAAACCCCTGACTCCCCGGCCGGGTGGACGGCTCCTGTTGCGCCCGGCCCCTCCAAAAATACTAGGGGAGAAGACCCACTTCATATTGGCCTGGGCCTTGTCAATGGCGGTGAATGGACCCGTAGGGTAGGGGTAGCTGCCGGGGTAATAAGAGGGTTTGTGCTAGCGTTTGGGAGAATGATGAGGACATCGCTCCCATCGCGGAGGCAAGCGCTCTCTGGAGAGAAGACGCCATGGTGGAGTCCTGTAGAAAATACTCCAGGCACTCCAATAGGTTCCAAGATTTAAGGCAATTTATTTGAACCAAGAACTACAAAGCAACATTTCAGCCCTAACAGGGATTTTTTCAAGCTGAAACGTTGCTTTGTAGTTCTTGGATACGTCTAGTAATATTTCTCTATTGTAGTCTACTTGTCCTTTTTTTTTTTTTTTTTGCTGCAGTGAAGTTGCAGCTTTTACTTGTGTTTGTGGCTCCGTTGTTTACATTATGGAGACAATTTACCGGGCAGCTGACCTTTCTAATGTGAACTGTGACACTTTCATTTGTGCCTGAGGATGTGACATTGTAACCCAGTTTGTTCTGTGAACAGCACTGAACAATCTCTAAAAAAATATATTTCTATAATAACAGAGGAACACATAAATTAAACATTTGAATAGTGTTACTTTGCATTTGAATTGTTTATTAACTGCAATCTCAACAGCAATTTTGGTATTACATTAAGATAGGTAATATTAATATGATAGTTACAGAACCCATGTTTTGAATGAATGCTAGGCTAATTTAGTGTAAAAAGTGTAGAGAAAGAAAAGAAGAGATAGAGTTAACTACCCAGAAGACTTGTGAACACTTTCAAAAGAGCTTTTAAGTTCTATATTCTATCCTACATCTTTGTATAAATGTGACATCCGTGTTTAATCATAAGCTCCATTGCAGGGCCCTTATTGTTTTTGTATCCATAAATATATCTTTGACCTCTCCATGGTGATTTTCTACTAAACAGCAAGCTATGACAAAAATTAACTTGCAAAAACAGCTCAAACCCAAAAGTTTGAAACAAACCTAAGCATTGTTCTTTTATAGATTTGTTTTTTCCAACTTGCCTATTTTAGTCTATATTTCCAAGCTGATTTTCAAGCTACCTCATTATGCTATTCAGGAAACACACCTCAAAATGTGCAATTTGATTTTGTACAATTTGTAGTTTATATGTAAAGTATCACATTGCACAGAACTAAAAATATGTTGGTGCTTATAGCTGTAATTTTCTTACAAAACATAAATTACCCTTTATCAGCCTCCATATTTAAGGCACACTTCCATGTCCGAACCCAAAAAAGAATAAATGTCTTTTTTTAGTAAATACACCCCTAATGAAAACATGCAGGCATTTAATTATGCATTTTTACATTGGGCATATAGCTAAAACAGCTTGCAAAAGCTGCAGATTTGTTGTCTGAAGCCTTTGCAAATCCCTCCCCCTCCACACTTCTTTTAAAGCCCAGACTTTCTGTGGTTGTCCAACAGGGCCGGCGCGTCCATAAGGCGGCACAGGCGGCCGCCTTAGGGCGCACTGGCTCTGGGGGCGCAAAATTCCGGTGACCGGCAGGAGGGAAGTGCTCCCTCCTGCCAGGTCACCTCCTGGATCCCCGGCGCGGCGTGCGGCTGAATTGGATGCCGAGGGAGCTCTGATCTCTCTGATCTGCTCCCTCGCAGGCTGTTTACTGATGCCGCGGGAGCCGGAATATGACGTCATCAGTAAACAGCCTGCGAGAGAGCAGATCAGAGAGATCAGAGCTCCCTCGGCATCCAATTCAGCCGCACGCCTCCCAGCAGCCCCACTGGACCACCAATGAGAGACCCACGCCAGCTCTCCAGGTAGGGAGGCTGGGTGGGAAATTTAAATTTAATTTAGATGGTTAATTACTGTGAGTGTGTCTGTGAGTTTGTGTGTGTGCATATGAGTGTGTGTGAGTATGTGTGTGAGTGAGTGTGTCTGTCAGTGTGTGTGAGTATGTGTGTCTGTGTACAGTGTGTGTGAGTGTGTCTGTGAGTTTGTGTGTGTGCAGTGTGTGTGAGTATGTGTGTGAGTGAGTATGTGTGTCTGTGAGTGTGTATGTGTGTCTGTCAGTGTGTGTCTGAGTGTCTGTCAGTGTGTGTGTGTCAGTGTGTGTGAGTGAGTGTGTGTGTGAGTATGTGTGTCTGTCAGTGTGTGTCTGAGTGTCTGTCAGTGTGTGTCTGAGTGTCTGTCAGTGTGTGTCTGAGTGTCAGTGTGTCTGAGTGTCAGTGTGTGTGTGTGTCTGAGTGTCTGTCAGTGTGTGTGTCTGAGTGTCTGTCAGTGTGTGTGTGTGTGTCTGTCAGTGTGTGTGTGTGTCTGTGTGTGTGTGTGTCTGTCGTGTGTGTGTGTGTCTGTGTGTGTGTGTGAGTGTGTGTGTGTGTGGAGTGTCTGTCAGTGTGTGTGTGTGTGTGTCTGTCAGTGTGTGTGTGTCTGTGTGTCTGTGTCTGTCAGTGTGTCTGTGTGTGTGTGTAAGTGTCTGTCAGTGTGTGTGTGAGTGTCTGTCAGTGTGTGTGTGAGTGTCTGTCAGTGAGTGTGTGTGTGTGTGTCTGTCACTTTGTGTGTGTGTGAGTGTGTCTGTCAGTGTGTGTGTGTCTGTCAGTGTGTGTGTGTGAGTGTCTCTCAGTGAATGAGTGTGTCAGATAAGTGAGTCTGGCTGTCAGAGATGTCTGTGTTTGTCACTGAGTGTGTGACTGTCAGTGTTTATACACCCCTGACTGTAGCGTGGCCAAGCGGAGTGTACCGTGGTACAGGAACTTCTGTTTCCTGTACCTGGAAGGACTGACAGGAAAAGCTCACTGTACCGGGATTCGCTCCGCTCAGCCACGCTACAAGAAAGGTAGGAGGCACACCAGGAAGGGGAGGGGACCACTATGGGGGTGGGTGGCACACCAAGGGACAGGGAGAGGAGGGGAGAGATACCCTAAGGTACAGGAAAAGGAGGGAGGGGGGAGAGGAACACTAAGCGACAGGGAACAGAGGGGGGAGGGGAGAGGAACACTAAGGGAAAGGAACACTGAGGAACAGGAAAAGGAGGAGAGAGGGGAGAGGAACAGTAAGGGTCAGAGAAGGGAGGGGACCATTAAGGGACAGGGAGAGGGGCTGGATGTGAAAGAAACACACACCGGTGTTTGAGAAGGAAAGAGACACAAAGGAGCTGGGAAGAATAAAAGACACAAAGGGGCTGGGAGAAAAGGAGTCACACAAAGGGGCTGGGAGGAGTAAGACACAAAATGTGGGAGGATGTAAGAGTCATACAAAGAGGAGAGATAGGAGACACACAAAGGCAAAAGGAGTCAGATATTTAAAAGACGGGATAAGAAACACAAAAGGGAGGTTAAGAGGCACATGGGTGAAGATGTTTTTGGGGGGGGGGCGAAAAATGCATCTTCGCCTATGTACCCAAAATTCTTTGCACCGGCCCTGTTGTCCAATCACAGACATACAAATGCAGCTCAATGAGAATTCGTTGTAAGACAGGTGCTCTGGGCAATTGCTCTGGGAGCTCTGGGCCGACCAGGAAGTAAGAGGACCAGTTTCTGATTGACAGCCAGTGGGGTGTAACAAGATTCATTTATAAAAGTGTCAAATTCTATTGAAAACTGCACTTTTTGTAAATTTTAAAAAAAGAGGACACACTCTTCACATAATCCACCACAGCAAGCTGGAGGAGATAGCAGCGGACTGTACCTGCTGGCTCCACTGGTTTCCATGGTGATTGCCCTAATTTTAATACATTGCACCATTTTTCTGAACACAACATGTTTATAATTCTCCCCTAGTTCCTTTAATGGGCTGTGCTAGGGTAACAGCCATAGGGGCTTATGTATAAAAAGTGTTGTGTTCTGAAAAGTGGAGCAAACATATGGAATGGTCACCAGTGGAATGTTTCTATAGTGATTGTCCAACGTTAGATCACTTTTCAGTGCACGACAGTTTATTATTATTATTATTATTTTATTATTTCTATAGCACCAGCAAATTTCCGTAGAGCTGTACAATGGGTGGACTAACAGACACATAATTGTAACCAGACAAGTGGACGCACAGGAACAGAGGGGTTGAGGGCCCTGTTCAATGAGCTTACATGCTAGAAGGAGTGGGGTATAGTGAGACAAAGGGTATAAGTAGGGGTAATGAAATAGGTTGCTAGAAAAGTATACACTTAGTAGGTTATTTTTGACAGTTGCAGGAGAGGGTCATGGGGGGTAGGAATAAAAATCCGCTAACAGTTTAAATGATATGCTTTCCTGAAGAAGTGAGTTTTCAAAGATTTTTTTGAAGGAGTGGAGACTGGGTGAAAGTCTAATGGAGAAGGAAAGGGAGTTCCACAGAAAAGGCGCAGCCCTGGAGAAGTCTTGGATGCGAGCATCAGATGTGGGAGTACGGACAGAGGATAGATGTAGGTCTTCGGAAGAACGCAGGGGCCTTGACGGGACATACTTGTGTATTAGGGTGGATAGGTAGGTTGGAGCAGCATTATGTAGGGACTTGTAAGCAAGTACCGGAATCTTAAATTGAGCCCTATATCTAACTGGGAGCCAATGTAGGGACTGACAGAGGGGGGAGGCATGGGAGGTGCAGGCGGACAGGAAAATTAGCCTCGCCGCTGCATTCATTATAGACTGCAGCGGTGCAATCTGGGAACACGTAAGACCACTGAGAAGGGGTCTAATCCCCTGAATCATTTATACAATCTGTTTACTTTGGATATTGTTCTAGAATTCTACATCATGATACTTATGAAGTTCCGTTTAGCTAGTGAGATTTTTTTTAATGGCATGCAGTAGCTTTGTTTGCCTGAGCTTATGAAGTAAATCTTCAATTTACTTTAAAGGGGTAGCATCAAAACCATTTATTTTCACAATTGCAAAAAGATTGTGACAGTTTGTCAAGGGCATTTCTCCAGCATATGTGTCAGCCGGCAAGACACGAGGAGAAAAGAAATATGAAAACAGTCTGAAGAAAACAAAGAGTTGCAGATGAAAGCAAATATTTAGAAATACAAAAACTCGTAAGTGGACTTAGAAATTGCTTTTCAACACTCCGTAGATTTGTATATACAAGCTCTAACCTAAATACTACACTGCTCTTCAATAAAACAGTGATCAAGTAGAGTAAAAATATAAACTGGCCAGGAATGTCCTGTTTTAAACATTCTCACACTGGGGGTATATTCATCATGACTTATTGCAATGACAAATGTGATAAATGCGGGATATTGATCACCTTGTTGCCAGAAGGGCTTACATTAAATTCTTTCACTTGAAGTGAAATAGTTAATCAAGGCCAGCAGATTTTGATATGATCACACCCCTACTCTTTCGTTTAACCTCTGTGATTTTTTTTTTTTAAAATGCCCCCTGGAAATTAAGAGCTCTTTTGCAGAGGAAAGTGGATAATTTGTCCTGATGTAGAGTTTTCCTCAGGTAGAGGGAGCGACAGGCACCCACAACACCATAAATTGTGTTTTTGGCACCATCCCAAGACCTGAACAGTCACACAAAAAATGATGTTTAACCCCGGGCCGTTTTTGACAAAGAATATAAAAGCAATCATCGAGATAAATTACTGTGCTGCTAAAATATTACTGCTTCCTGCCAAATCTTGTAAACTATGAGAAAAGCATTTTGGGATTCATACTGGTAATTCTGCTGTTAACACAGAAAAGAAAAATAATCATTTAGTCAGCAAGGAGAGCATTAATATTACTGAGAAAAGTCCTTGTGTAGCCATGCAATCAGGCCATTTGACAGAAGCTTAAACGTTGATTCAATTGGTTTGCAAGATTTAAACCAAACTATCAAAGAAAAAAGGGATTTTACAACTTTATGCATCCCAACCATCCTGATTTTGGCAGGACAATTCAGATTTTTGGGTTGCCCTGCAGTATGTATAATGCATATTCTGTAAGATTCTTCATTGCCAAATTGCTTAATCTTACACGTTTTTTCTAATTCTAAGTATTGCAGGACTACTCTTTTCATGTGCTGCCTAATAATATGTATACATAATACATGTCCCAGAAAACATGGTGGATTTGGTTACCATGGCGATTACCCTCCCATTCTGCCTTTGTAGGGAGGTGTGCAACTTGACTAATTTGGAATACATGTTACAATTCCGGTCAAAGTACATATACCTCCAATCACTCTATAGCACTAGCTCATCTTCTATTTGGTTTAGGGCATTTGCAACTATTTATATAATCAACATTTTTAAGTAAAACATCTTTCTTTGTCATGATGCTAGTCAGATCTCTGCTAGCTCTCTACTTTAGTGTTTTGTTGCAAAACCAAAAATTGTTATGCATTTACAAGGAATGTGTAAATTTAAGGGCAAACAAGCCGAGTTGGAAGAATTCTCCACTTAATTAGTTTTATTTTTACAATGTCTGTTTTGGTCAAAACTTGGCAAATCCTTGTCTGTTTTCCATAATTCACAGTTAGAGAATGAACTCTTTTATATCATGTGATTTTAGTCTCTATACATCGAACTTCAGTGCATTGACTAAACTTCAAAACTTATGCTTCAATAGGTAAGTTGTGACTATAGTTGAACGGGCACAATTCCCCAAACTGCCGCTGTTAGCGCTACAATTCACTGTATAGGAAATAGACCCCACTACGCTTTCTACTGTGCGTGAGTCTAGCTCTAGTTAGTCACAGGTGCATTTACAGTTTCAAATGTTCATTGTCTAATACAGAAAACAGTAAATCACTCAGTCAGCAAGACCTGCTTTATGGCTCCTGAGACTCATTCAGCAAAACGTGCTACTCTATTCTGCACTGTATGTGAAAGGCCTTCAGAAAACTGAGAAAGATGGCATTTTGACAATTTACCAAGAAGTCCCCACATTCCACCAAATGACATATATGGCTAAATCTATGTGTTACAGACATGTATTTTGTTATTGCTAAGTAATATCTGACAGGATTTATTATTATTAATAACAATAATATTTATCTTGGAAAAAAAAAACATAGTCACCGCACACTACAGCAAAGTAAATAATATATTGCATAAAATAAATATTGATGTAATTGCATAATAAATTAAGAATAATGAATCAGAAAGTAATAACAAAATGAACATGTTGGGGATCACAGTGATAACTGTTTTAAGGATTATATTTAGCCAATGTCCTTCTTAAGAAAGATTCAAAATGTAAAAAAAACATAGAAAAATAGCATAGACATTGAAGAAATGATATACAATATCAATGGATTCTTTCTGCCTCAACGTGTCTAGGTAAATAAATAAACAACTCAGCTTTCAATATTTCCTATAATTTAATGACATATAATAATGTGGGTCATAGCAATATACCAGTAAAAAAATAAAACAATTCTTGAATAAGTTATGTTTTTTTTCCGAAGGTTTAAGGTCAAAATAGCCAAATGCTTCACCATCTTACCTCATGCTATCACACGTGTAGTGACTCTGTGACAGCCGATAATAATATGCCACATGTAGCAATATTGTTATGCCCATTTAATTTGTTGTTAGCTCCAAGCACATGTTCAATTTTGTATTTTTTTATTTTTTTTGTGTATCATGGAAATACCCTATATTGATGATGTAAACTCAATAAAACACAAATTGAAAAAAAATAAAAAATAGCCACCTGTTTTAAGTTCAGCTATTCTGGCAGAATTCACTTATAATTCTTTGTTTAGTGAATAACCTTGATAGTATTTTTGGATGAAATAATGATGACATATTAACCCCGTCACTACTAAAACAGTCTATATAAATATATACATTAATTTTGAATTGCAAAGTAATTATGACAATTACATTTAGTCCATAAAGCTCTCCCCGTCTTCCCCCACACTTTTTTTTATGTTCCTATCTCAGCTTTTTTTCCACTATTGAGAAAACCTTTGAATCTCTGCAAATGGGCAGAACATATTAGGCTCTTCACCTTCTTCCAACACAGTTAACAAAGCTTCAAGCAACAAGACTGTATTGCTGCATTCTAACAGTCAGGAAGGGGAGAGGAGGGAGTTAAATCACTGATGTCAGTTAGAGAAATACAGAGATTAATGCAGTTTACTATAATAATTTGCAGATTCTTACATTCCGATCACACAGAGGTACTGTAGCTAATATTGCTGAAAAATGTAATACTGGCCATTATAGAAAGGTGTCTGAACACACAGTGCATCGCAGTTTGCTGCGTATGGGGCTGCGCAGCCGCAGACCGGTCAGAGTGCCCATGATAAACCCTGTCCACTGCAGAAGCACCAATGGGGATGTGAGTGTCAGAACTGGACCGTGGAGTAATGGTTGCCTTGTCTAACGAAGGCAGTGTTATGCTCTGGGCAATGTTCTCCTGGGAAACCTTGGGGCCTGGCATTCATGTGGATTTTACTAGACATGTGCATTCGTTTTCGTATGAATACGATTTCGTCCGAAAATTTTGGTTTTTTTCATATTCGTTTACTAAAACGTAAACGAAAGCCCTACAAACAAAATATAAATGAAACAAAAGGGCAAATGCCAAATGCATTACCTTTTCATTTCGTTTTGTTTGTTTAACAGACTCCGTGCAGGGGAATTAACCCCCACATCACGGAGAAATAACTGTGCACATGTGCGAAACAAAAAAAGAAGCAAAGAGGGAGCCAGCAACGCTACCAGCTCCTTCCTTGTAATAAATATTAATTCCAACCCCCCACCCTCTTGGGTTGGATTTCAAGCCACCCAATCAGAGTGCTGTGACAGATAAATGTAGAGACTTACCTGTCAGTCTCTTCATTTACCTGTCAGAGCACTCTGATTGGTTGGCTTAAACAAACTAATCAGTGCGCTCTAAACCTAATTGCAGGGTGAGGGAAGGCTTTATAAGCCTTTCCCTGCCCTTCGGAGCTCATTCTGCGCCATTCCCTCCATGGGTGAAGATGGATTAGTTTTTTGCCGTCGGGATTTTTTTTTTCATCGTATTTTTTTTTACACTCTGGTTTATTATTTTATTTTCAAAGTTCGACGGTATTATGGTTTTTTATTTGGCCTTTTGGGGGGCTGAAAAAATAAGTTTTTTTAGAAAAAAGAAGACATCAAATGGTAAGTATTAAATTTTATTTAACAGGGTTAGTTTATTGCCCCTCCCCACCTCACTATTATTAGGGTGGGGGGGTATTTTTATTGGGGGGTGACTAGGCGCTTGGGGATCCCTAGTCACTTTATTATTTGTGGTCCCCACCCGCCGGTCATTGGTAGGGACCTAGGGGGGACATTAGGTCCCCCCTTTAATTTATTTATTTAAGGTCCCCACCCGTCGCTCAAGGGTGGGGATCAAGGGGGACATTAGGTTCCCCCCTTTAATTAATTAGGGTCCCCATCTGTCGCTCATGGGTGGGGACATGGGGGGGACATTAGGTCCCCCCCATTATTTATTTATACAGGGTCCCCACCCGCCGCCCCACTCTTAACAGGGTTAGTTTATTGCCCCTCCCCACCTCATTATTATTAGGGTGAAGGGAGGGTGACTAATAATTGGGGGGGGGGAGTGACTAGGCGCTTGGGGATCCCTAGTCACTTTATTATTTAGGGTCCCCACCCGCCTCTCATGAGTGGGGACCAGAGGGGATATTAGATCCCCCCTTCAATTTATTAGGGTCCCCATCCACTGCTCATGGGTGGGGACCTGGGGGGGACATTAGGTCCCCCCCATTATTTAATTAGGGTCCCCATCCGCCGCTCATGGGTGGGGACCAGGGGGGACATTACATCTAGCCGGGTCACGGGTGGAGGTGCAGGAGGGCACTATGTCCCTCCATTTAAGTTTTTGTGTTCCGCGAGTAGGGGCATGCGGGAGGATTTAACCTCCCTTTTAGCAATATGGGGGTCATAGTGACCCTCATACTGATTTATATCTAATTTTATGACAGCGAGCAGCCACTGGCTGCCAGCTGTCATTTAAAACTGGATATAAATGTATATTGTATAGAAGTGTAAAGAGTACGGTAAGAGTACGTGTAAAAAGTAGCTATTTAGATCTAAAAAGCTACTTTTTCATATTGCAACATTGTTATAGTTTTTACTATAACTTACATGTACTCTTACCGTAGTTCTCTATTACTTCTTTTTTAAGAAACTGATTTTTATATCTGGTTTTAAATGACAGAGTTCAAGGTGTTGTCTTGGCCTCCAGACTCCACAGATCTCAATTCTATTGAGCATCTGTGATCTGTGGGATGTGCTGGAACAACAAGTCCGAACAAATGGAGGCTCCACCTTGCAACTTGCAGGATTTAAATAATCTGCTGCTAATGCCTTGATGCCAGATACCACAGGATACTTTCAGAGGTCTTGTGAAGTCCATGCCTCAACTCATCAAAGCTGCTTTGGCAGGAGGAGGGGGAACTACATGATATTAGGCAGGTGGTTGCAATGTTGCGGCTGATCACTGTATATATTTACATACTGTATATTGTAATTAGAAAGTTGTTTTGCTAATAATGCAGCCATAGTCTTACAAATAACAAGGGCCAGTTTTATTGATCTCTTTTGCGATACCTACTCTGTGCCAATAATTGTATCTTTGCTTTTGATGCAAATAAATTTTTTTTTCTTTATTTTTGCAGTGCAGAGTGGCACATACAAACTCTCATAAACATAATAATTGAAGTAAAACATGAAAATATGAGCTTCACATGAAATGTCAAAGAAAGACTGAACTTTTTTTTTTTATAAAAGTAGAAAAGACAGCTAAAGCTTTATTCTTTGAGATTAAATAGCAAGAAATGAAAGAAGAAGCATTATCGTACAGAGCTGTGAAAGAGTTCAAAATGAAAATACCACTGGCTAAGAGAAGTAGCCTTGTGTAGCCTTTACATTAGGGCATCAAAAGTAGGGCATGAAAGCTGATGCCGAGCAAGAGAGAAACAATTTATAATGCTCTTGGACTACAGATAAGGTTCGCCGGCCTCTCAGCCGATGCCAAGGGATAGGAAGTCCCGACTGCCCCATGATGTTAGCAATCTACATTTTTATGTACCCTGAACAGCAATGTACGCCCAACATATTCACCATTTATGCTGTGTATGATTCAAATACATGTTTTAACTAAGAAAAAGGGCTCGGAAGTGAAGCAGTTATTGCCACACATGTACTTTTTAACCTAATGGTGTTTGGTATAATTTATGTCCTTAATTACCTGCCTTAACAGGTGCTTGTTCTATCCATACACATAATCAAACGCCAGATCTATAAAAATATTCAAGTAATAATACATCTTATAATAGTAGCATTGAATGCCAGCTCTTGATGTGATTCACTCTAGTGATAACCTATTGTGCAGATAAATAATAAGGTGTTAAAAGAAATGAGCTGTAAAGGCTGCACTCAGAGAATCGGAGAGGTTTGCCCTGTTTGAATGGCAGGAAGCGTGCAAGTATATGAGATTATAGGGTCCATTATTAACACTTCAGAAAATTATACTGTGGTTTCCGTTTTATCTGTTTACTCTCTTGGCTGATACAGTATAAGCTTTCCCCCTGCATTCAGATACTAGCCTTGGCTCTTACAAGCAGGCAGCTCCAGTTAGGGTTTAGGAGCTGCAGCATGAGATGAAAACGTTAGTTTTGGCAAGTGTGTGTTGGGAAGTGAGCATTCCATTGTTCACTCTGGAATCAAGCCACATAAAACTGAATTTACCCCAAGACAAATGTCGCACAGGCACTTGTTACATAAATACCTGCTCTCCTTTCCTCGGCTATTTGTTTCCAAAGTGGCAAACTGGTATTTAAGCACAAATTGAAACGTTACTGTGGTATGCAGTGTTTACCCATCTGGAAATTGTGGGAGAAATTCAAGAGAATTCATATTTCAGGCCAAATTTGTTCAGCTGGAAAAATATACAGAGTTGGATAATTTTTCCAGATTGGCTATTTTTGTCTGACATTTGCAACTGCCTTGTCAATTTTCCGCAAGTGTCAGTTTAGTGAATATACTTTGTGTATTAGAATCGGTTGTACAATTATTGTATACGCTGCTCTGGATATCAGTCAAAAGAACAGAGCTAAAGATTACAGCTAAAGGCACTTGATGGTATAACTTTTTAAACTCCAGCATGATCTCAACTGCATAAAGCATAAGTGATCAATGCATACATACTGTGCATTTACATGTGCTAGAATTACCAACCTACAAAGGGCATATCCTTTCAAAAAAGATTCAACAATATGAGTATTTAAGGCCAGCTGTTGGCAGAAGTGATATTGTTGCATCATTGGTCTCTTAAATCGGAACATCCCAAGTGGTGGTTTTATTGTAACAGGTTTGGATGTTTAGGTGGACAGGCAGAGAGAACAAGAACACTTTGAACAGTTTGTAGATACTGGTTCAGGAGAGTTTGTCTCCAATGTCTGTACCCTGCATTTAGATTGTAAGCTTGTGTGGGCAGGGCTGTCTTCACCTATTGTTCCTGTATGTCTTAAATGTTTTGCTAGAATTAAATGTTTGTCTTGTTTACCTATGGAACAGCGCTGCTGAATATGTTGGTTCTATATAAATAACTGTAATTATAATGTGAACCACATTACATGGAATGAGTATGATCCATGTCAATTCGTGGTATGTCACGAGCCATCCAGAAACATACAGAAAAACCTTACCATTCATTTATCAGCTTTATAAAATCACATTTCCCAAGTGTCCCTATTTAAAAGAGGGAGTCTATATTCTGGGCCCAAATCCTTCTGTCCCTCTTTTCTATCCCAATGTCTCTCTATTCTAGGAGGTCCGTATTTTTGAAGTGTGTGAGTGTATAACATAGCTCCGCAGCAATAATGCTCACAATAATGTGTCTTTAAACCACAATACATGTGTTTAGAAATCAGTCTGTGTAAATAAGATGCATAGTTCTTGTTTTAAATTATTTTATTTTTTATTTATAGATTCTTATTCAGAGTTTTCAAATAGTACAATCAAAAAATAAGTACATACAAGAAACTCAACATACATATTAGATACATAAATTAATAAGTCATTTAAAATGTCTCAAATAGCCCTGTCCATGGCCACACACACACTCAGACCTTTAAAATACTAGCGTTCGTCTTTACCCTTCGCATATGTTGGAACGTATGTCATTTGTCAGCCAATACTGTAACATTGCAGTACACCCGAATAACGCACAGTATACAGTTAGTTATCTGTTGGCTCTTGTTATATTTGAGAAATATCTATTCCGTTAATGTGGTATTTCATTTTAGGAATTTAGTTGTGATGCAGATGAGTGTTTGGCTTAAACACCAGAAATATTATCACTATATATTCTATTATTATAGTGTGACTGTTGTGTGATCTTTTACTCTATTTCCCGGTGTTCGGTGGAGGCAGTGTGAGTGCTGCTGAGAGATGGTTTGTGTCCTAGATTGTCCTTTGTCGTGATGTTGCTGTGGCTTTGTCTACTGGACAGGATGTGTATGGATTTAACTTTGTGATGGCATTCTCAATGTGAAATCCCCTGGGCACAATGATTAATGAGTGGCTTAAAGGGATGAACAGAAAAAGCAACTACAAACAGACCAAATATACATTTAAATTCAGTTAATGATATCAGCAAGCAATGTGAAATTAAAAGACGCAAAATGGAGACATTCTCAATATACATGGGGCACCATATTTACACCATGCGTCACATTTTGTAACTTGCTGACCATTTGCAGGGTTGTGCACTAAAATGTGAATTGTCAAAAATTATAATATTTTACATGAGCTTTTAACTTGAGTACAACGAGGTTGTTGAAATTCCTCTGGCACTGAAAAATGGTTAAACACACAGACAAACCTTCCTGGCTAGTTCTAATTTTCTGGGACATTGTTCCATATGCTAAATCTAAAAATGAATCCTTGCAAGTACTGACGATGATGTCTTGTACTGGTTCACTCATGTTTGGCCTCATTGGTCTATTGGGCCATTTCTACCACTTTGATGACATTGTACATTGTTCATTCTACTATTGCGCTGTATATGCTTCTATTTGAAAAATGAAAGTAATAATAAAATAATTTATCCTTCTTTGCATGCCATGCTATGTGTATTTTGTTCTTGCACATCATTTTGCTTATAGACACTGCTATTGTAGCAATTCCCTTTATTGGACGGTAACAAGGTAAAATATAAAATTCTAAGGTGAGGGTTTAGTACTGGGATGAGCTGTATCCAGGATAATAAAATATACTTTTCCAAATTAAGTAATGCCGAGTAACGCATGCATTGGATGAAATGAAAACAATGTGTAAAGCAGTTATTAAAGATGTGTTTTAAAAATTTTTATGGCCGACCTACCTTATGTATATTATGGCACTAGACCATAAAATATTATCAGCAGTTTTCACTAGAGATGGATTAGCCATCTCACTAGGCCAATCATGTATATGGGATTCACAGAATATGTTCACATATACTGAAATCGTACATACACCATTTTAAAAGTTGCAAATTAAATTAGTTTATTACAGATTAATATAGTTTGTAATTGTTGCACGGACCCTCATTGCTCACACAACAGAGCATGAGAAAGACCACTTATCAGTTGAAATATTGCTCCGTACACATTGTGTACTTTAAGAAAGGGTCTCTGAGGAATTAAGGACTTGCTGGTGAATTGTTTTCTGGGTTGCACAGTTTACTGGCCATTGAGCGAGGCCACACTCCTGTGTACCTTTGGGGTAAGTACTCTTCCATCAGTCTGACAGATGTATTCTCAGACATAAGTAAACATTACACTGTCTGAGCATGGGCACAGCATCTATGCGCCAAAACCACCACATTCAGATGAAATGGTTTTGCTGCTTGGAATTTTTCTTTAAGATTGTACAGTAGTATATGAATGGTGAATAGTGCCAAGCTTGGTCATGGGTCATCATAGCTACTGGCTTAAAGCCAACAATACTTTGCCAGTCTGACATATTACCAGGCTTAGAGTCCCAGAATCTCATTGTCAGCTGGAGTCTATTAGTCGCTTTTTGAGATATGCCAGCCTGCTGTAACAGGACAGCCTGTTGTATCTAGCATATACAGGTCCCAGTGCTGCCATTACTTTAGTGACACACAGACTTGTTCTGACTGACCATTAAAGTTTATTACAATTGTTCCCCGGGTTCACAAATAATGCAGATGTTTGGGTCTAGGTTAAACTGACTATGGTTGACATGGTTCTGATTTTGCTTGTTCCAACCTTCGGGGAACCCATTGAAATATCATAGGGACCCAATTTTCAAACTACTAAATTAAGGTCTAGATTTTATTGATTAAAGCCCTGCAGAATATCTTTTTTAAAGTGTCCCTATAAATAAGGAACATGGGCGATCTATGTTGATGGATTGACAATATGAATGCAGAATGAAAAGGGAAAACAGAGCTATGTCCAGAGGGATCCAGGTATAACACTGAGTGCTAGGCATTTAGGGCACAAATTCTAACTGAGTGGAGTGTAAGCTGGGTTTAGCTTGATCTACTACTGAAGCATGCTGGAGAGTTTACGTTTTCAATTCAAACTTCATTATTCCAGCTAGTCCTATGTAATAAACTGAGAAATTACACCATTTATTACATACATTTAATATTCTCTAAAATAATGGAGTTGGCCTCTCTCACCTATTCACGTTATTACATTACTTCATGATTGGAGGGGATTCTTGCTGTGGCTGCCATGACGGTTGTGTAATGTGTCAAAGCGTAAGAGCTAAACTGCAGGCACAGGTGAACCAGAATTACAGCATATTAATGTAAAGGGACAAACAAACCCTTACAATTGAGGGTCAATGCAGTGTACAACCATGATAGTACAATAGTAGAGGATTGAATCCCATGTCTGTTATTCCAGTTATCCCTCCTGCATACCAACACCGATATACATGTACATTGCGCGACTTGCCATATCCTCGGACACCCTGACCTCATACCTCAGACAGCTGGGAGATATGGACATGGCATGTTCCTATTAAGATTTATGGTATTTTCCCCAAGCAGGCAATGTTGCTCTGTTTGGCTTTGTTACATTGTCATTGAGATTTAAATCTGTAACTCATTGTAAACTTGCCAGGATCTGCAATATGTGTATCAATTTACTCAATACAGGTTACATCATTATTTTAAATAAACTTAAGATAATAATTATAGTCAGTTTAAAAACAGGTATTCTGGTGCATTAATATGCTCAAATAATAGCTCAAATGTATTGCTTTATAATGTTACAGGGGAACAGTATGCTACTTCCCAGAATATGTATCTGCTCGACATGTTTGAGAATCACTGACCAGACACACAGGTATAGTGATGCATGACTGTAACATGTAGATGCACGGTTAGCATGCATGTCATAATATCTTGATAAAAGATCCCCCAGATTTCCTCGTACCACCTCCCTCCATGTCTGCGTCTAATTAGTGGAGGGTGGGACTATGCCAGCCAAAGACATAGATTACAACAAGGCTGCAACTCTTACAGGAAAAGCTCATGTAATACAATGTTTGTCTAGCATTGTGAGGACTCCAAAGCAAACAACTGAACATGTATTCTGAAACCTCAGCTTGAACAAATGTTAAGGCGCCCATGTTTGCAAGAGTCTCCTTTTGTGCTATTTACTCAGACGGAAGGTAAAGCTACTCCAGGGAAGTAAATAAGCCACGAGAGAACATGTCACGCCAAGCGATGAAGATTAATAGTCTGTATATGCTGGGTCACATGTGTAGCCTGGAAGGATTGATGATGAATGACATCCTTCCATGAGTTTGGCTGTTTGTTCGATTGTTCAACCAGTAAATTAACTCTTTGGGTGTTCAGCTCCCTAGAAACGTGCAGCAGATCCCTGATTTTACTGTTTCACCAGGAGATAGAGAGTTAAAAACTTCCCAACATTCTAAATCAAGACTAAACCGTTTCTTGTCTCCATCCATTCACTGGGGCAATGCTGCTAAAATGTGTCTGTAAATGACACGTACAGAGTGTAAACCAATGTTGTCGGCGCCCTATGAGTGAGAAAGAACATTCCTTAAATCAGTAGAAGATGTGATCGCAACTGGCTACTGGCGTCAGCTATAGAGTGTTTTAGGCCTCTGTGTTTAGCAGGGAATGTCAGAGTTACTTACGGTACCTCTAAATCACTGGTAAAAAGACTGAGCGATTTCAATGCTAAGGCCAGACATGGCTGTGAATATTCGCCCCATTTACTGCATTGTGTAAATTATTTTTATTCCAGATTCAAAGTTTATTGGTTTTTCTTTGCAAAAAGAAATACCAAAACATATAAAAAAAGAGAAAAAAGGGGACACCAATAACAGTATGTCTGAATATATATCCATCTGTCGGTAGCCCTACCTGTGAGTTATTGCTCTGTTTTGTAAAACAAATTAAATCACCAATGGAAATTGGAATATCTTATGAATGAAACCAAGCAAATTATATTACCGATCAATTCTATCTATCTATAATAACTGTGTATTTTTAGCAAGAAGTTCACTAACATCTCCAGAACTCCAAGATTGCATTTATTTTAAAATAGATAGAGATTTACCTTTATAACATAGATATAGTCAAGTACATCTAATAGATATATAATACATTGGTCACAGGGATACAGATGAGAAGATATGATCAAAATGTGTCACATAAGATACTATAGTCATAACCATAACCTAGTGAACACACAGCATTCACATTAAAGGGGTTACTATAGCACTAGTAATACAAAGTTGTATTCCTAGCACTATAGCTCCCTCTGCCTAACCAAATTCCGGTTAGCCACGAGGAAGTGCCTCTAGTGGCTGTCTGATTGACAGCAATTAGAGGCAGTCTTAACCATGCAATGTAATCGTTGCAGTTTCTCAGAAACATTATAGGATTAAGGCATCAGGGGCAGTGCACCCGGATCACTCAATGAGATGGAATGGTCTGTGTGCCTATAGTGTCCTTTTAATCAGGGTAAGAAGCTTGGAAGTTGCTTTTTATTAAAATAATTATTTACGAAAATGAACAAAAATTAGATGTATGTCCTATGCTTTTAAAATAAAAAAACCTTCCACAATAATTTGAAATAAGCAAATTTAAAGGGTTACTCCAAGCACCATGGCCAACTCAGTTTCATGATATTTTACCAGCCTCATACTTACAAAGGATCATGGAAGTTGTAGTCCTATTTCTGGTGCAGACCTGCCTTCAATACATTATAGATTTGCAATGTGCTATGTACGCAACCTGTAAATCTTCAGCAATAATGCAGCATTACCAAGGAAACTAATATGAACGTTCTCACAGCCATTATAACACAGTTACTAAGACAGGTTTAATGAAAGCCATGTACCTAATAGGTCATATCCATAAAGATGGAGCCAGTGAGTGTACAAATGAGTCAGAACCTCACCCCTTTGCCAATCATTACATTGGCTTCCTGTAGCTTACAGGATGCAATTCAAGCTGCTACAAGCTGCAACTGGCCTCCCCCACGCCCCCTCCCCCCGAGAGCCGATGCTCTCTCCTGCAGGGCCGTTGCTATCCAAGCGCCGGCCCTGCTAAGTGTCTTCATGGACCGGAGGGGAGATCATAGATCTCCCTCACCGGTCCGCTGCCACATGGCTGGGCGGCCGGCACGAAGAGAGGAGGGAGAGGAGACCAGGGAGGAGCTCAGCCTGCAGCTCCGCCGAGGTTCCTCTTGCGAGCACGGAGCGCTGCCGCGGTTACCATGGCAATGCTCAGTTCTCGCGAGAGTGAACTCTAGCCTCAGGAGCTGCAGGCTAGAGTTCACTCACCCACTAGAACCGCCAGAGATTCACCACAAGGACCACCAGGGATTGGAGATAATATAACCCCTCCCAGGCAAAGGTAAGAAGGTATGGGGGATATAAAGAACATTTTTTTTAATAAAGAAACACAAAAATATTTGTTTTACTCTGCCCCCTCCTTTAACTACACACACAAAGCCCCAACAGCCCCCCAGATTAGGTAAGTGAGTCAAAGCGATTATAAAAAACTAATTCAGGACTTAATTTATGAAGTTAGAGTAGGAGGATGTAGTCCCTATTTTTTTTCCATCTCTGCTGTATGTCTCATGTAGTCATATTCACTATTACCACATATGTGGAGAAAAGGGAAATGGCTACAGCCACGAAAGGGTTAACTAGGTGCATTACTGCTGCCCACAGTTTGTTTGGGCCAGCACAAAGCATGCAAAATACATTGGGGAAGGTCAGTATACCCTTTCCTAATGTCCAATATGTCAGAAACCTTTTGTCTTGCTCCTAGACTGCAGCTGTGAGTCATGAGAAGTCTGTAGTCCTTCTAGCAGGTCATAGCAAACTTCTCTCTCTTATCCTAGTCTTTATTAACCTTATAACCATAACCTAGCCTTTGAAAAATGTCATATTGAACCTATTGCAGGGACTGGATCCTTGGTGTTGCCAGTGAATGAGAGAGGGCTGCTTGCTGTGTGTGTTTGTATATTAAGCAGTGAGTGCATGTATTCAGCAGTCTGTGTGTGTGTATTCAGAAGTCTGTGTATGTATTCAGCAGTGTGTGTGTATTCAGCAGTGAGTATATATATTCATTAGTCTCTGCATGTATTCAGCATTGTGTGTGTGTGTATTCAGCAGTCTGTGTGTGTATTCAGCAGTCTGTGTGTGTATGTTCATCAGTCTGTGTGTGTGTATTCAGCAGTCTGTGTGTGTATGTTCGGCAGTCTGTGTGTGTATATTCAGGAGTCAGGGTGTGTATTCAGCAGTCTGTGTGTGTGTGTGTGTGTGTATTTAGCAGTGTGTGTGTATTAAGCAGTGTGTGTATTTAGCAGTGTGTGTATGTATTTAGCAGTGTGTGTATGTGTATTTGGCAGTCTGTGTGTGTGTATTCAGCAGTCTGTGTGTGTGTTTTCAGCAGTCTGTGTGTGCATGTATCCAGCAGTCTGTGTGTATGTATTTAGCAGTCTCGGGGTGGGGAAGGCTGGGAAGGAGACAATGACACACTGAGGGGCTAGGAAGGGGACAGGGACACACAGAGGGTCAAGTAGAATGTGACAATGACACACATGAGCTAGTGATGGGGACAAGGACACACAGAGGGGCTGAAGAAGGGGACAATGACACACAGGAGCTGGCGATGGGGACAGGGACACACAGAGAGGCTGAGGAAGGGGACAATGACACACAAAGGGGCTGGGGAAAGTAGAACACACAAAGGGGAAAGTAAAACACAAAAGGGGAAAATGGAGGATAAATAAACTAAGGGGGGTAGATACACTAAGAGGGGTAAGACATTCAAAAGGTGGAACAAGAAACACAAAATGGGGGTTAAGAGACACACAGGTAAAAAAAAATTCTAACAGACTCTCTAATGGATGTTGAGACGGCCTCTGTTAGAGGGCCCCACCGAGGGCCCTTTATTATTATTTTTTATGGAATTTATAAGGTGTGGGAAGTGTTGTCGGTGCAATCTGGTACTGTGGGCACATTCTGATTCTGTAGCTAGTGCTGTGAGTGTTTCCTGGTACTTTGGCAACTCCTGTGCACGGTACCTAGTGATGGGGCAATGGCTTTGTGTGCAGTCATTTATATGTTTATAATTCAGTTATAGTGCCTTGATCATGTGTGTATGACTGATGTGGTGCATTCTATAGTGTTAACATTAAAACAGATTAGAAATTGCAACACTGAAATCAGACAATGGTAACATGACTCTTTTATTAAGCTTTTGCATCAGGTTTCTCAAATCTTTTACATGCCTTTGTTTTATGTGATAATGACTATGCCCCTCCCCTTCATGACACTGTCAAAAAGGGGCTGAGTATGGATGTCATTACAATTATGCCCCTCTTGAAAAAATTCCTGCGGACGCCGTTGCCATCTTCTGACATCTGCTTGTTCCCGCACTGCCAACTCTCATCTTGAGGATTTTTAAGGACTGTCCTATTCTTTTGAAATACTTACTTTGTGCCATCAAAGCCTATCTAGCCACATGTTCTTCAAAGTAGCCACTGAGACACACTTCTTTGGGATAGCCTACTATTTTCTTGGGTGATGCTCCTGTCATAATAACTGCCATTCTGAGTTTCTTTGCCTCCATAGTCAAACTCACTCTCAGTCCTACCACTATTCAGTTCTTCCATACACCACTTTTACCACACTATTTCGATACAGGTATCCTACCCATCAGCCCCTCCTCCCCTCTCACATGCTATTATTCATCTTGTGCATCTATACCCCTTTCTCATCATTTGTTATCTTGTTTGAGCAGAGCATTTTTCACCTATTCTCTCTGTTAATATTATGTATGTCAACTACACATGGTTATCTATCGATAATTTGATTATTGTAAAGCGCTGCAGAATATGTTGTTGTTTAAAACCCCTCTCCCCCCCCCCAGTTTTTTTGAACTGCAACTCCCATGATTCCCGGGCTATCTGTTTCATTCAAAGAATCATGGTTGTTGTAGTTTAAAAGATCTGGGGAGTGCGCTGGTTGTGCAGAACTGATCTAAATGATGCTTTATTTGTGAAGGATGTTGAAATGAAAACTGAATTGCAAAATGTAGGCAAAATAGTTTCTCCTTTTTCTTTCTTTTCCTCACACTTTCTAGTAGTACTGACTGTATATGTTTTAGTGACTTTTTGCATTAATATTAAAAAAACAAAGCTTTGCTTCTTATACCCTTGAAAAAAAGCTTTATTCTAAACTAGCAACTCTCATCATCCTCAGTCAGTCAATTTCCTGTGCAAGGCATCGCCCTAGCATATAGTCCCCACTGGAGGCAGCTCAACCATTGCAATCTACATGCAACTCTGGGTGTGTGAAGCCTATAAACAGCCTAAGCTCATAAGATTAGTACAATGTCCTATTTCTACTGAATAATGAGTGTCCCGCTAGCTGCAGGCCACAGAGGTTAAATACATTGTTACAGCACATAAACTTTATATGCAGGTTCAGCTAAGGCCTCTTTAGCAAACCAATTTTTAAACCATGGGCACCGGAACACCTATTGTTATAATAACAAGGCTTCATATCTCATCACAGGCTAGAACTCACATAGCAACATACAGAAGACTAACAAAACAGCATTCTAGAATTCTGGGTAAGCTTTAAAATGGCTCTATGTTAGCAAAATAAAAAGTTACTTTGAAGGCAAACAAACTGTTTTAAGCCATTGTCTTTTAAATATTTCTGTTGCATTTGAAGTATGTTCTTGCATAATTCATAACATGGCAAATGTAAACATACATATTTTTGTATAGTATAAAAAATATGCTTAGTTTTTAGGAGGAGCATGCTACACTATATTTCATTCAATAAGCAAAACATACAATTAGAAATTTAGGAAAAGTAAAGAAAGTAAAAAACAAGTGAAAATGAAAACTAAATATAATGATACTAAAAGTGTAGCAATATTTTATTTTTATACTGTTATGTATTGCTATTATTGTTGTTATAAAATGCCAAATTAGTACTCGTTTCTATGCATGTCAGTATAAAGCCTTAAAGTGTTAGGGATAAAAAAAAATTGTATTCCTAACACTACAGTGTCCTCTGGCTCCCCCTTCCTCACACTCACACTCCCCCTGCCTGTTGCTATAAATGACCCTTGAAGCTTGGTCACGCTCCTCCTTTGGAAATGTCAAAAGCTGGGGGAGCCTAATATGCATGCGCAGCAAATGCTGTGCACTCGGCCTCCCCACAGGAAAGTATTGAGGCAATGTTGTTGGACATCCTCTCCCACAGCTAGTAGACAGCCACTAGAGGCAGTCTTAACACCGCAATGTTAACATTGCATTTTCTCTAAGGGTTAAGGGAACAGGGACACTGCACCCAGATCATTTCAATGAGATAACATGGTCTAGGTGCATAAAAGGTCCCTTTAATGTTTGCACAATGGTCATGTTTGCCTCCAATGATCCACCACTGCCTAGCCTATAATATGGCACTCCTAGAGAAGAGGGACATTGGGAAAGAAAAGAGGGACAGCTGATTTTGGGCCATGAATAGGGACGGTCTGCCCTAAATAGTGACAATTGTGAAAATATGAGTGTGGTTGAAATGTTGTCTTGTGTTTGATTTTGTGTGAATGTGTGTGAGCTGCTTGAGGCATTGTGTGTTGGAGCTTGCTTGTGGGGTAGTATGTATGTATGCCAGTTGTCAGTGGTTCTGTTTTTGTAGAGGCTGTGTGTGCTTGCATGTGTGCTATTTGTATTATTTCTGTGTGAGGGAGGCTTATTCTACAGCTAAATGTATATGTTTGGCTGTGTTAGTGGCCTCCCTGGGGTCCACTAGAGACCATGCTGGCCAGATACAGATCAAGGTCAGGGGTTTTGGTGGCCCCTATCCACTGCTTTCCTTCAGTGTGGCTTCCCCTCACAAGCACTAGGGGGAAGTGCGGACAAAGCAAACTAACACCACAATCTGAATGTGAATGTAGTGGATAACAAGTATATAAAATACTTATCTACTGAATCAAAGGGGACAGCCTCCCAAAGATCACGTCCCAGGTGATGATCTTTCATTAACCAATGTACAAAGAAGAAAAGCATATGGGATACGGCTGTTAAATCTAAAAAAAAAAAAAACATAAACAAAATATAGTGTAATACAATTTTAAATTAGAAGTGTGCGCTGTAAATGAATGCACTCACAGGATGAAGAAATATCATGCGCTCAAGGGTGCCTCCACCGATGTTGCTGGGGGGCTGTAAATCCCTCTTTCCAATCTGTATGTGCCGCTACGACCCAGGACTCCAATTGATGAAAGTAAAAAAAATCAGCAGCTTTATTATAAATTAAAAAGGTGAATAAACACCAATATGATCCTATAAAAACAGCAATAGATGGTCCTACGCGTTTCGTCCCAGACTTAGAACTAAAATCAATAACAATAACAAATATTCAAACAAAGTAGCTTAACAAACCCCACCCGCAAGTCCCTTTAAATAGGGCTAATCCCTACGTCCATTGGTGGTTCCGTGGGCGTTATCTTTCATCTGTGGTGCTGATTGGTTCAGTTGCAGCTCCTATTCATCTGTAGGTGATTTAAAATAATTTCCCTTTGTCCTGGCCAAAATTTAGTCACCTGCTGGTAAATGGAACCGGAAGTGCGTTCCACTCGGTACTTCCGCGTTCCATTGACTTTAGCCTTGTACCATAAAAGCCAATATGTTGTTTGCAAATAAGTGTGTAACATCCTTATCAATCGCAGCCTACCTAAAATAGTGGGAGAGCATCACATGGTGATTTCTGCTAACTGAAATGGTGACTTCTATTGCTTGTGGGAGGCCTCCATCACAGTGACGAGACCTTCTGAATGACCTTGACCTTCTTTGGCCTTTTGGGTGCAATTGCAGCTCCGAAAGTGCATTCGGGTCAGTACACTTGCCAACTAGAGCAGGTGCTCTAGTTTACCAGACAAACACATGGTGCCATAAGCCTCAATTACCTGTTTTAATCCGAAGACAACCAGGGGCCTACAGAGTCGGTGCTTGGGATGAAGCCCCGGCCTCTAATACTACTCAGGTGGCAAGCTATCAGGGGATTCATCCCCTACATTGCCATCATTCCCAAGACAACTAACGTATGGAGAGAGGATATCGCCACTATAAGGCACATCAATCCCTACAGCCTAAGTCATCTGTTGTGACAGACCCGTACAGCATTGTGTACCTGCTCATTATTATATTTGAGACTGGCTTATGGTTACCCCTGATTGCATGGAATAGTCATCTGGCAATGGACTTGCCTTTAACTTGGTCCTGAGCATAGATCTACTGACAGGAAATTGCTTAGAGGCTTATGGATCTATTATGCTATGTGAATACACTCTTTAATTAGTTGACCAATGACAAAGATGCCGTAAAGTTAACTTCTGACACTTGGCCCATCACATTTTCATGTCTAGTTAAGAAAGAACACAGTGTTTCCATGTTGATGTTCTCTAATACTCAGTACATCTACCGTGTAACCAAATACCATTACATTCCCTTCCTGGATCAAATGCAATTATAGCTACTGGAATATTACAACATGGACCAAATGTCTTTCTTTGGAGTTCAATGTCATGTGTACATTTGTATTTATTCTTATTTATTTTAATTCTGATTTTAAAATAATAATGTTTTAGTATGATGTTCTTCTCCTGCTCAATATATATCAGAATGGAAATCACCAGGTCATTGTTTACTCTTTATAATGTGTTAAACGTGGGAAAATAAATAACCCCTTCACTACCAAGTTCTTTTTGATATTTTAAAATGTTAGCATAACATTTACTCGAAGCAAGAAATCCATAGCTAGCAAATAAAAATATAATTTGTTTATGGACTCCTTTGCAAACGTACAATTTAAATTTTAATGCAAATTTACACATTTTTGTTTCATTTATTAATTTAACTTGTACACAAATATTTTGGAAATGAACAGCTTTTGACAGCATACAGAGTCCTTATCATACGATAATCCATAAGCCGAATACCTTGCTTATATAGCTAAATCATAGATTTCTAAAATAAAGATATTTAAAACTGTTATAGCAATGTTTATCTATTCTCTGAAATGCTAGTGTAATGATGACAGTTAAATGGTACTTTCACTTCTTTCCCCTCCCTGACTGTAGGAATGAAATGACCAACTGAAACGTACTGTACTGTTAGAAAACAGGGGTGAGCCGTGTGCTCCTTTAAAGGCTGGTAATTATTCATAGATTATAAAGTAGGGTGAGTGAGGCTTAATTTCATTATAAATATACATGAAAAGAAAAACATTTATACTCGGTTTTGGTAGTGAAGCGGTTAAGAGAATCTAGGTGGATTTTTAAAAACATTTTTTTACATCACTATAGTAAACCATCTACTGTAAATTCATGTAGCTTGTTGACTACAGTATTGGCAAATACATCGTATATTTATTATAATAAGGTGGAATCTCTCTTGTGATTCTAGCCTGTCACTGAAAAAGTCCCCCACCTCTACTGTCACTAGAGCCATGGTAAAGTGTCCTTCTTGGGAGGTATGAAATCTGGACAGGGGTTGGGTGAGCCTATTGGTGGTGCCCGGGACACCGCTTGCTTCACTGGTGATGCCCCAAATGGTCGTCCTGTCTGGAAAAAGAGTGGGACCAATGAAATAGGGGGCAGTTCAGCCCAGCTTGAATACATGCCAGTCTGACAGACAGACTCTGTCTGTCTGATTTAAAACACACAGGGCACAAGCTTAAAGCTCTGACTGCAGTTTGCAAAGTGTGAGCACATCTTTTGATACACTCTCACTATACTGATTTTCCTGATGACTCCAGGTGCAGAACTATAAGGAACTAACCCTGGAGAGTAGGACAGGATCTCAGAATCATGACAGTTCTATCAAATTCAGGACTGCTGGCATGTATCCACACGCATTAATAATGTGTGAAACCTTCTCATTATGACAATGCAGTCTAAGGGGTTGGAATCTGTGTTTCAGACAATTTATTTATTTTCATGTGTGTGTGTAGTGGTGCGATAGTTGAGGGTCTGTGCAGCCTCGTATGTTGCATGTGTATTCTGTAGTTCTTCTCCCGTTTAGTGTGGTTTTGGGTGTCTCGGTCTGAGGGACATTTTTGCTATGTGGTATCTATACGCAAGCTATATTCCATTTTATTTATGCTTTTGCCACACCTGCTGAACATGACCAGAAATATATTTAATTGCCTGCTAATATTTTATATCGAGTCTATATAGTTGCAAGATATGGATAACTGGAAGCTCCTGCTAAAATTTTACTTTGCTCTCCTGACCTACTCCTTGCCATACGAAGAACATCAGCTGATCACTCTCAGCCAATGATCTAAGCCCTGTGGTGATAACAGCAGTGGTAGAGGCAATGATCAGCATTCGGCAGATTTCATGTAAAAAGTTAAACCAGTACTTATATTGGGGGGCACTTTTGAGACCCACAACAGTGTGCCGCAGTGTTTATCGTGAGTGGGATGTTCCTTTGAGTAGTCTAAGACAGAGTCTGAGCAAAGTCCCTTTGTTTGACAGCAAGGAAGCACTTTTAAGGAAATGATCAGTCAAAAATGGTCTCATCCTATTTGCAGTTCTCACACTGCATTTGGTTCTATTGTCGGTTTTCATAAAAATGCATGTTTTTAACAGTCATTTAGCCGACTCCAGGCAGAGTCAATACAGCTGCAGTTTGTGGCCATAATGGTTCTTTGAGGCTGGAATTACATGCTATTTCTAGAATCTCAGAGTAAGGACTGTAATCCAGTTATAATATTTCCATTTGTAATACAGAAAAAAGATATTAATATTATTTATTGCATTTTATAAACAGACTGTGTTATCCCTACCTTGCTGTGCCCGTAGGTTATTTTAAAAAGATTAATATGTGACTGTAATTAGGTTTGTGTTTCTCTTACTGTATAGATAAAGATGTTATCACATTATTCTAATGTCACAGGGAAGAAAATGCTCTTTTATTTGGTTGGTACATGTTGGAAGCAAGTGGGTTAATCAGGATACAGTGTAAACGTTTGAAAGCAATGTAAACCTGTGTTATGAAGACTGCCTAGTGACACAGCCATCTGCACAAATATCGTGCAACTGAATTCAGGCCAGAAATTTGGGTTTCTACCATGCAGATTATACCTAATTTCCTACACATGAATTTCCAAAGGGATCACCTTACATTGCCTTTATTGAGGGATTACTGAGACCTTACCGCTAAGGGGCCATCCTTAAACTTCCATAAAACGTGGTTATTGGCTCAGCTACAGAGGAAAACAATGCCCAAAAAAAGAAGAAGAAAGCCTTCGAGACAAAGTTGTACATACTTGCAATCTAATGACTAAAACTATATGTTCTGCACAAAACATGGGATCAGTTGCTTTTGGTATTAAGATCATTCTTTCTACTAGGAAAAATACCTTCTAACAACCTAAATAGTGCTGGCTGGTGTTGGCACTGCAGATGTCCGTGGACTGCATTTATCCTTTACCCTGGCAGAGCATCATGGGAAATATAGTTCAACGAACTCTGACCTTAGCTATTACTAATGTATAGAGTGATGTACAGTTTTCTCACTACATGCAATATAAACTTGAGTATGATCTTATAATGTATATATTAGTAAATCACTTTTAGCACTGTGTCTCCTGGTTTGCCCATGCCACATTAGGACCTCTTTGGTCAGAAGCAATCTGTCTGAAACCATGCTCACTTTGAATGGCTGGAACAAAGTCAAACACATTGCTGAGATATTGGTGCTTGTACATCCCAACATAGTCGTAATTCAAATAAACTGTGTTTCTGACTAAAGAAGAATTTGGATGGTGGTCCCAATGGAACAAGGGTAAGCTATGGTATGCACTAAAAAGTATTTAATTTTATGTGCACATTACAAAATAAAACACAACTTCTGGAGGCAACCTCGCACCCCCTCACTCAGGCGAGAGACGTATGAAGGAGATCACCTGGGGCACCGTTGGGGTGGGGCACCTCGGAACGGGGACAAGAGACAAAGAATGAACAGATGGCTAAGCTACTCACATACCTCCAAGCCGCCTCCCCTCCCACACCCACACCCCCCCTCCCCCCTGTTTAATTTTTTTTTTCTTTTCCTTTCTCTCTCATTCTCTCCATCTTCTACCTTTCCTCTCTCCTCCATCCCACGCAAGTGCCTGAAACAGGCCACACACAAACACAAACCCTAGGGGGAGACACACATGTACGCAGACGTACGACCATACACAAAACCTCTACTGACTACATAACCTACGATCCCGGTAAAGTGCACAACCCCAACGCTACTCACCAGCACACCAAGACTCACAACAGAATCTTCGGACCGAGACACCCAAAACCACACTAAACGGGAGAAGAACTACAGAATATACATGCAACATACGAGGCTGCACAGACCCTCAACTATCGCACCACTACACACACACACGAACACCACCATCACCAAGACGGAGCATGCCCCGCTTGGTAAAACACAGGCATAAACCAACAATCCACCTGTATTAAACTACGCAAATGCATCATCACCACACGGACACGATCACACGAACCTATAATCATTGAGTCACGAAAACGCTCTCACTACTCACAACAAATATGAACAGGTGCACTGCCAATTTTAGCAAGAATACCGACACTACCCACCTGGATGATAGGAACAATATATCAACGCAAGGGTCACACCCGATGGCTAAACATATGCAAGTTCACATCAGATATACAATGCGCAGTGCCACTGCGCAGGCACCAAAACGACTACATAGGATGTATACGCTAGGATTACACAGATAAAAGACAATCATTTAGCTAACCTGCAACAAATTAGCTAACGCAAGACAACAATAAAAGCTAACTAACACAAAGCAACTACACAAACCAGCGAACACAATGCAGCTACGCAAACCAGCTAACACAGAGCAACTACGCAAACCAGCCAACATGAGGCGACTACACGAACCAGCTAGACACACAAGACAAATACACAAACCCAAAACACATTAGGTCCTGCAAACACAGGAAATATGTCGTAAAGTTCACAGAGCACACACTTGCCTCACTAAACTAACTGCACATGTTCCGTTTACATGTCTCAATATGTATACGCCTCTGCGTGGGCGACCATATGCTTTTATAATAATATGTTTGATGTCCGCATATACAATGTGACGACAATAAAAAACTATTTAAAACAAAATAATACACAATTATGTAATTTAGTTTAATAATAATACAAACCAAATACAATTTTCCTTTAAGGGGATACACTTTTTTAAAAAGATATATTAAGTCCTGTATTTCAATCTAACTTTGAACTTATTAAACAATCAACCTGTTCTGCATAAATCAGCCTAACAAAATATATTGTTTTCAGAACCAGTAAGTAAACATTTGTATATGCATTTAAAAAGAAAACAATACAATCCCCCAAAAACTAGTGAGTAGGAGCAGATGAGGTGCATGTTGGGAAACCTTAATCCATCTGGGTGGACAGCTGCCTCTGCTCCCCCGCCCTCGCGTGCTAGAAAGAGACCGGGGCCGGAATATGACGTCATATTCCGGCCCCGGTCTCATTAAGCAGTGCGCTGGGGAGGGGGAGCAGAGGCAGAACAGCCAGCTCCCCCTGCGGCCGCCAGAAGAGCTCTCTCTGCGGCCGCAAGAAGACTCAGCTCCTCCATGCGGCCGCCAGCACAAAGGTAGAAATTATGTGTGTCAGTGTGAGTGTATGTGTGTCTGTGTAATGGTGTGTGTGTCTGTCTGTGTCATTGTGTGTGTCTGTCTGTGTCATGGTGTGTGTGTCTGTGTCATTGTGTGTGTGTGTGTCTTTGTCTGTGTCATTGTGTGTGTGTGTCTCTGTCATGGTGTGTCTGCTTGTGTCATGGTGTGTGTGTGTCTGTCTGTGTCATGGTGTGTGTGTCTGTGTCATGGTCTGTCTGTGTCATGGTGTGTGTGTGTTTGTCATGGTGTGTGTGTCTGTCTGTGTCACCGTGTGTGTCTGTGTCACGGTCTCTCTGTGTCGTGGTGCCTGTGTGTCATGGTGTGTGTGTCCGTCTGTGTCAAGTAATGTGTGTCTGTGACACGGTGTGTGTTTTTGTCACAGTCTGTCTGTGTTATAGTGTGTTTCTGTCATGGTATGTGTGTGTGTCTGTCATGGTGTGTGTGTGTCTCTGTCATGGTGTGTTTCTGTCTGTGTCACGGTGTGTTTGTCTGTGTCATGGTCTGTCTGTGTCATGGTGTGTGTCTGTCATGGTATGTGTGTTTTTACTCACCTTTTTCCCCCCCACGTTGTGCTGGTCTCTCCTCGACTGGCCCTGCCTCAATGGCTGAGATAATCAAGCTTGATGATCTCAGCCAATCTGCACTGACACAGGAAGCACCTCTAGTGACCGTCTGAGTGTCTGTCACTAGGAAGCAATGTAAACACTGCCTTTTCTCTAAAAAGTCAGTGTTTACATTGAAAAGTCTGCAGGGACAGGCTATAGACACCAGAACCACTACATTAGGCTGTGTGTGTGTGCGTGTGTGTGCGTGCGCGCGCGCGTTTGTGCGTGCCTGCTACTGAGTGAGCTTGTGTTTTTATGTCAATGACCTTATGTATATCAGTGAGATTGTTTATTTATGAGGCTGTGTATCAATCATCTTGTGTCAGTGAGATTGTCTGTGTCTGCATGTGAGTATGCTTACTGTATTATTAAAAATTTTACTCTGAAAGGACCAATATTTTATATTGGAAAAAGCAATATATATATCAATCATCTAGGGTGGTAAGACATAGCCTTACATATTACATGCGACAATATATGGCGCAATGACTTATGGGGCTGGCATAGATTTTTTTTCCAGGGCTGCTTTGGAATCCCCAGTCCGGCCCTGCTTATGTATAGCCCTGTTTATGAGCAGATTTCCAGACAATGGTTTGCACAATGCTATTATATCCCCTCTGAGGAACCGTTTTTCTAAATGAAACATATTGGATTTGTTACCATTTCTTCATCACTAAAATGTTCCATTTCTTTTATTACTTCTGAAGCCCATCTCTGCACTTTTTCTAGTGCCATAATAACCTTCTTTAGAACAAGTGCTTAAAATTGCAATTTCAAAGAATTTCAAAATTCAAGGTTTGATCTTATTCTTGATTTCTAAAGAGCCAAATTATAGTTTCAACCTGAAAATAAATTCTTCTTTTTATACATGGCAATACCTTATTGGCCTTCGCAACTGCTGATTGACATCGCACATTGTTGCCTAGTTTGTTGTCTATAACAATTTCCATTGTGTTGTTATCCCTAATTCACTACCGTTTAGGGTGTAAGTTGTGCATTCTTTGCATTTATCTACATTACATGTCATCTGCCATTTGATGACAGTCTTTGTTTACATTAACTCTCTTTAGATTTTGCAGAGAGTTAACCAATTACAATTTTTCTGGAGGTTTTTGGCAGCCATCATTTGCATATCTCTTACTATAGATTCTTCCTTAACATATACTGAGAAAAAAAATCGTTCTTTAAAATGTCTGCCTTTTCCTGGTCTTCATTAGATAACACACCATTTCTGTTTTCAGTGTAACTACAGTTTCATTTTTTTTAAATTTATTTTTAGTATTAAAAAATAGGGATTGGTTTTGCTTTCTTTGGCTATCACTTTCTCATTTTCTAGTTTAACCCATCTAATCGCCTGCTTGCAAGCATTATTGGTATCCTTATTTCTTATATAGGATACTTCTGATTTGTCAGATTTAAATGCTTTAAATGCCCTTTTCTTATTTTACATTTTTAAGATTACATTCCCACTAAGTTACATTGGTTTCAATTTGTTTCTTTTATATTTATTACCCAAATAGCACATACTAAGAAGTGTACCTTTTTAATATATGTTTGAAGATATTCCATTTATTACCAGTGTTTTTTCCCCTACAGATTATGTCAGTCAATAAATTGTAAAGCTACCCTAATCTTGTTGAACTAGGCATTTTTAAAAGTCTATGTCTTAGTATACCCCATGTGCATTTGATTTTTTGAGTTTATTTGAAAATACGCCTTATTGTAATCTCTATTTCCCAAGTGCTGCCCTACTTGAACGTTGGTCAAAAGATTCTCATTGCTTGTTATAACCAAGTCCAGACAAACGTCCTTTCTTGTTGGTGCTTGTACCAGTTGTGACATGAAGGTGTCAGATTCCACTGAACTACTAGTCCCTCTGTCCCAAATTACATCAGGGTTATAAAAATCTCCAATAATTAACATGTTACCCAGATGTGCAGCTTTGCCACTTAGCTCTAACAGCAATGCAGGTGGTTTATAACATATCCCAACCAATAACTGATTTCCCTTCTTTTGCCCCAATCAGATATCTACCCATAAAGCTGGCACATTTTCCTTGTCACATTCCACTTGCTTACTATTTGACTTTAACTCATGGTTGACATACAACTATACATACATTATGATACGTACTAAATTTATCATATGGGTCATTTAATTTTCCCTTATTCGGCCTTATAATCAGCCGCCATTCTGCTTCACATAGCCAATTCTGTACTCGACTATTCCCACCTCACCGCTGCGTATTAGACCAGTTCATATACATGGTATATTTTTCCTTCCGGGTTCCCTGGTTATTTTTTGGCTCCGGCAACCATAGTACGAATTACTACATTAGCCATGCACGATCAATGCCTCTTACCCAGCATCTTGGCTCTTACGTCATTCCAGCTTACAGGGTCAACTACAACCCTATCATACTATGGTCAACTATTATTCACAACCGCACTCCTAATACGTACGGCCCGACAAGGGCTATCCACTACGTCATAATTTTCGGCCTCTCATTTGGGCTATTACATACGGCATAAGAAATACATTAGACATAAGTTTGCACTTTGTCACACAGCCTGCCACAGCAATGCCTCTATATACGGCCCTTGCTTAGCTGTCAATCTCACGTTACATACAGCCCACCCCGGGCAATCCACTACGACTGAATTTTGGCCCTTCATTTTTGTAATTACACACAACCATGGTTGTGTTAGACCACTCAAACCCTCCCTATACGGCCCTTTCTCTAGATTTACAACTCCTGTCACAGTCACTTACTGGATCTCCAATATTAGTACCTGCTAGTAAACTAGAGGTGTCCCACATACATCATACATATTTCAGGTTCTTTTAGCGGAAGGACGCCTATCAGGAACTCTCACCTAGGCGCAGCATTATTAGGTGTCTCTTCCCTATACATATATATGTCGATTGAATAGGTTCATCTTTTATCTAAGTTGCCCATCTCTACTTTTCATCCTGTTGTTGACACATGTCTGTTATTCCATTATCTCCGTTAGCACTTACATCTTACTGGATGTATTCCCATTAGCATTCCCATTGTGTCTTTAGGTTCTTCTCTAAAAGCTCAATCACATATTAGTCTAGGTACAAATGTTCCACATACTTCCCAAATCACTATGTTCTTATTTACCTACATTCCTTAGGGTTAGATCGACTGGCTGTAAAGGGTATTGGTGCTGGCTATATTCTAGTTTTATCATAATTCTGTCCTGCGAGGCCAACTCCCATCCTCACACGGAGGTATTTGCCCATCGGCACAACTCATAGCTAGAGCCTTGCTTCAACCTCTTCAGGTTATTAGATAGGGCCTCGCCTGTCACGGCCACTAGTTTTGAATCTTTTACTTGTCACCGAGAGGCCTACATACCTGCCACTTCGTTTGGTGGCCTCAGTTCCCCAGGCAAATTCATAGCTAAAGCCACTTGGCAATTAGTAGGGCCTCAACCCCGATTCAGCTAATTTCTTCGCCATTTGACACTAAGAAAGTTGCCAGTTGATGCAGGGTTATACTCCTACTGCATGGCTGACACATGTATGCTTTATTTCTTACATCATAGTATTTCTCACAAAAGGAGAATTACCCCAGTACACCTTATCGAATACTAGGACATAAATCCTCTACATATACAAGATATCTCTCTACCGGAGAAGGAGCATATAAAGCATCGATCAAGTTGTATCAATGTGTTTATCTATCAAACCTTTTGCCCTCTTTATTTACAGACCTACCCGAAAGTCAGTCCCAGCACACCATTACAGACTTATACCATATCCGACTTATGCCATATTCAATACCATTACTCGGCTTATTGTCCCTGACTACAAATAGAAAGGCGTAGCCTGAAATTGTGGGAGGGGTTACCCGGCTATAAAAACTCGAGCCACCCCTCTCACTGGGCCGATCACGCCTGGTTCAGCCTACCCACCGCTACCTTTTTTCAAACAAATCATTTTGGTAGCCCCTCTTTATTTACAGGCCTACCTGATCGTCGGTCCTGGCACACCACAACCGGCTTATATCATACCCGACGTATGCCATATTCAATACCATTACTCGGCTTATTGTCCCTGACTACAAATAGAAAGGCGTAGCCTGAAATTGTGGAAGGGGTTACCCAGCTATAAAAACTCGAGCCACCCCTCTCACTCGGCCGATCACGCCTGGTTCAGCCCACCCACCGCTACCCTTTGGTTGAGACAATCGAAGAGGCAGATTGCCTTATCTACTCTATTGATCAATGTAAAGTGTTTTTTTTTTTTTTGTTCATTAATTTAAAGGAAATACTTTTATTTTTTATAAAAGAGCAAGTCAGACTAGTTTCTTATTAGTCAGGCAGAGTGTGACTTTTTTCTGAATATTTCTTTGGTACTCAAATGACAGACTATGTAATTATGAATTACAGTTACATGTATTGGCTCGTTTCCAGCTGATGGAAATGCTAAGATGGGCAATCTTTCAGTTAGGCACAAAGTAGTTATATGGCTATTGTTGCTTTGCCAGCCCATAGTCTATGAAAACCTGTTTCCATTAGTTAAAGTCAGTAAGAGTGACTGAGTCAAACCATCTTCTATTGTGTTTGACTGAGTAACATACTGAAATTTCCGAAGTATGCATGAATGCTGCACTGTATTTTCAATTTATAATTTTTATTGTATTAAAATGTGTAGATAAGCATAGCGGTTACAGAAGAGCAAGGTGCACGTTAGTAAATATCACAAATATTTGAAATCATTCACATCAATGCTAGTTTGCATAACTTTAACAAGGTGAAGGTACAGGTACATCGGTGTCTGCTAAGTACATCAGATTTTAATCAAAATTAACTTGAACATGTATTTTTACAATACGATACCCTTGCTTGTGGGATAGGTATAGCTTATGGTTTGGCTTCGTTTATTGCCACATTGGCAAGTTGCGTGCCTCTAAGGGTCTGCCTAGCCTTTTGTCCTCTTTTCCTCAAGAGGGATTAGTTAGCACCTTCATGTTATTTGGCCGATGCTGTAAGAAGAATAATAGAGAGAAGAAAAGGGGGGGTGGGGAGGGTAGGGAGGGAAGTAGGGTTTGTTTCACTCCAGGTACTTGTTGAGATCACAAACTTATTTACATTGTGCATATCTTAGTTTAACATGACAAAAGTGAACCAAAGAGATTAAAAGGGCTACCTTGGGTCTTATACCTCTATTTTGTCTCCTTCTGTTCCCCATTCCCAGCATATAAATTGCGTATAGTGGTTACAGAGGAGCAAATTGCAGGTTAGTAAACATCAATGGTGCCAGACATCATACATACCATACATAGGTTCTCCTAACACAGTTAGAAGTATAACAAGAGTGCTTAATATAGTGTCATAAATTTATTGAGTTTCAGACGCCCACTGTCTCAAAGGGTGGCTCTGCGTGGGTTAAAATAGTGCTTCCGCTAGGTTCCCCCATATCTCACTGTCTGTCTGAGGAGGAATTGTTCTCGAACCCCATCTCACTCCTCCCAACGTCGTGTATTTTGGGAAGCGTTGCCCTGCAGGTGTGAGGCCATTTTTTTCATTTGAGCAGGTAGAATCCATTCTCTGGATTGTTTTCATGATTGGAGGAGCTGACTTGCTCTTCCAAAGGTGAGCAATACTAAGTTTAGCCGCTACTAGGAGATTTAATATGACTGTTCTGTTAGGCAAGGTTTTAAGGTCAGGGAACATGTGAAGCAGATAGTACTCAGGGTTCCTGGGGCGTCTGAGCCTGGACAATAAGTTTACCATCATTGTTATAGAGTTCCAGAACTGCTGTAGCTCTGGGCATTCCCAAAAGTTGTGGCTAAGAGAGCCTATGGCTGCTTGGCATCTCCAACAATTAGGGTTTGCATCCTTATAGATATGTGAGAGTCTGAGGGGCACCAAATACCACCGCATCTGAAATTTGGCATGCGCTTCCCACATGAATAGACTTTTGGAAGCTGCTTTAGTGTATCTACTGGCCTCCCGCCATTGTGATATCTGGAACTTCTCACCAAGTTCTTTTTCCCATTTACTCATATAGGGTAATTTTTGCTCCTCTTCCAGTTCGTTAAGAGCTGAGTAGCAAAGTGACAGGGAATTTACACCAGTGGCTCCCTTTGTGAGAGGATTGAACAACCTATGTTGAGCTGTGCGTGACTTGGGCTCCACCAGTCGAGAGAGGAGGATACTTTTAGCGCGAATATATGTAAATAGTTCCCTATGAGCTAATGAGAATTCCTTTTGTAAGTCTGGGAATTGTTTAATTCCCCTTGAGTCATGCAAATCAGATACTTTTGTGATGCCTCCTGCGCTCCAAGCCCCCACTGGTAGGTCGGGTGAGATTGCCTGAAGACAGTGATGTACCTTGGTTTTGTGCTGCCCTAGGCATGACAAAACTCAGGCGCCCTCTCCCCCCCACCCACCACCCTTCCCCCCTGCCCGCCACCCTTCTCCCCTGCCCCGCCTTCTAACAGACACTAGCAGACATATTCTGTCATATTCCGGCTCCCAGCATCACTCTGCGGCACGCGAGGGACCTGAGCAGAGAGCTCAGGGGAAAGTGCTCCCTCGCCAGCGCCGCCCGCACAGATTTTTACTTAGCCTCCTGCCTGCCTGGGCTGTTAGTCGCTAGGCTAACAAGGCATTTGCCCTGGGCATTTGGGGGCGGCTTTTTTTGCCACTCCCTGGAAAATGCCGCCCAAGGCAAATACCTTGTTTGCCTCGCGGCTAATACGTCCCTGCCTGAAGAGCCAGGATTGGGGCCTGTTTCATTTGCTCTGCAGGATCAATTAGCTTATTACTCCATTGTTTCCATGTTTTGAGCAGGAATTTTATGCAGGAATGCCCTATGTGGGGGACAAGGTCAGAGTTTGTCCATAGCAGATCTGTTATATTAGCGGGTGAAAATACATGCAATTTCTAAGTCGAGCCACACCGGGTTTGTGCGCTTAACTAATAGGTCAACGTCTTGTGACAGTGCTGAGGCTCTGTGGTAGTTGTGAACACAGGGAATTATTCCCAGCCCCCCCTCGACGAGTGGGAGCCATGACAGATGTTGTGCCACCTTTGGGGGTTTCTTTTTCCACACATGGGAGCTAATAATATTTTGCATGTATCTGGTGACAGTCCTAGGAAGGGGCAACGGGATTGTTCTGAAGAGGTATAGGATATGAGGAACGGCCATCATTTTGATGGCATTAATTCTGCCCAGCCATGACACCTCTAATGCCCCCCATTTCTCCACCTGGGTTTTGAATTCTGCTCTGTGATGTTTAATCCCCATGAAATATTGACAAGGTGATTTCAAAAGTTGTCTATTTTAGCCTAAAATGTCAAATATTTTTGTTAATGTCCCAGAGTCCCTCATTTGCCAGATAAACCCAAGCATCTTCCTATGAGCTACAGTGAATGAGATAGGCCACATTTCAGTGGGAGAGAGTGCTTTTGTTATTTTGATTTCATGAAATACTCAAAGTTAGGAGGTTAAACAAAGTGGTGCTCTGTTAATAGAAGCATGAAATGGCCACAGCAGCTGACTGATCCAGTTATTCCCTGTTTGATGTTCACTCAGTTCATTTCATTTTCAGAAATATAAAAAATACTACAAAAAAAAAAAGTACATTTTCACGGTGCAATTCGATCTCCTTAAGTTTTAAACCAGAATCAATCTGAAAGAGATTTTAAAAGACGGCTGTTACATTATTCTATGTAATAACTTGCAGTCATGTCTTACAGTGTAGGGTTAATTTCCTCTACTGGCAAAAATAATAGAAAATGATTATGGGCCCAATGCTGAGAAATGATCTGCATGGTGAAATTTGTCATTTAAATAAGAATGTAGTCTAGGATCGCGAAGGGCAACCTTGGCATTGATGATGGCAGTAAACTACATTCCCTTAGATGCTAAGCCAGCCAAGGGTAGCAAGCAGTGGTCTGTTGAAACACTATTTTAATGAGTTATATTACACCAACATAACATTCCTTTGGGAAGTTCTCAGGACACTGGGGAAGAAGTCTTGTAGCAGGGAGAGGCATATCATTACACCACACAAGGTGACTTAGGTAGATGTCATTGAAATGACAGTCATCTAAGCATTAGGGCTTTATGCACAAACCACCAACGGGTCAGGTAGGCAATTGCTTTATAGCTCACATAATGTCCAAAAAGAAGAGAATAGGTTGCTACAAGGTAACGTGAAGTAATACAGGATAGATTTGTATTTCGATTACATAAATCTAAGTCCCATAGACGTAAGCTCACTCAGGTGTTTATTCAAGGCATGAATTGTTGGTAGACCCATAGGGTGGATCCAAATAATTAATGAAACGCGTTGATAAGACTCATGGGCTGAATTACTGTTACATGGAAACTCAGTTAATAAGATGTAGTAGTATTGATTCTATTACTACTAGCTATTTATTTTATTGAATACTGGGTTGGAACAAAATGCTAGATATGTTATTGTCTTTGGTATGTCCCATGTTAGTCTATCATGAGATATCAACATGAATTAATTTAAGAAAACAAAACATGAAATTGCTCTCCCACCTCCTCATTTAAAGCCTTATGTCCCACAAAACATCACTATCCCACCCTTACTGTGTTACCTACACACACTCCATAAAACACATGCTACATAATCTACTGACACACGTACACTACATAATCTACTCACACACAACATCCCCTATGCACACACTATGTTCTCTACACACATAAACACTGGATAACTCACAAACATTACAAAACCTACAGACGCACTAGGCTCCCTATACATACACACTACATAACTTACACCCATGCACACTACATTCCCTATACACACACACTATGTTCCCTAAACACATACACACTACATCCCCCATACACACACACACACACAAATTACATAACCTACACACACATACTACATAACCTACACACAAACACAATATGTTCCTTATATACACAAGTGCGTGCACACACACACACTACATCCCCTACACACACACACACACTACATCCCTATCCCACACCATACTGTTTTCCCTACACACACTACATAACCTGCACACTTCATCCATATCCCCCACCACACTGTGTTCCCTACACAAACTGCATCCCTATTTCACACCACACTATTGTTCCCTACACACACAACATAATGGCATGGCGACTTCAGGGCAACAAGTGCTTTTTTAACACTCGTTAGAAATTTGTTTGTACGCCTAATGCTAGAGTGTTCCTTCACATAGGTTTGTTTTTTCCCAAATCTATACATTTGGGAGGATTTCTTCTAGCCCATATATATCTAGAATTTTCTGCTCTTTAAAAAGACCAGAATTTGTGTTTACCATAATAAGTACAATCTGAGAGTAATATTTATATATACATGTATATTATTAGGTATTATTATTATTATTATTATATGTTTTTTATGCCTATACTATTTACAAATGTATTAATATATGTATGATATGCCCAGAAATCACATTAATACATAACATCTATGTAATGGAAGCATAGCACTTTTTACAGGGTGGACGAGGGTGTGTGGCTGTGGAGGGGCGCTGTGAAGATTTTTCGCACAGGGCGCCTAAAGGCCTAAGGTCCGGCCCTGTATATATGCATATGAGCGTATAATTATTTTTTTTGGGGGGGGTGGGGAGGGTGGATCTTGGGTGAGTTCCCACACTTTTTTCCCCAGGACTTGACTCCTACTATATGTTATTGTCATTGTCTCACCCCTTACAAAAGCACACAGAAAATTAGTGTATAAATATTGACCACATGACCTATGATTTTGGTTCTGTATATATGATCACATACTATTGCTTTCATTAGACGTTAGTTAAAAATGTATGACTTTTTCCTACTCTCCCTGCTTCCATCATGTGCCACGCATAGTCCCATCATTTAGAACTAGGACTGATCTCACAAGGCTCCCCCATCACACACCCACACACTGTATCCCTCCGTAACTAATAAGCATGATCCCCAGACAGATTGTGATGGTTTTATGATGAACAGCATACAGGTGCAATCAGCTGAGAGTAGAATTCACTTCGCCTGAGACCTGGGGCACAGACACAGCTCAGCAACATGTATCCAGCAGTAGGCATGGGATAAAAGCTTGTAAAACATTTGTTTTAAGTCTTAAAATATCAAATTCCTCACAGCTCGTAATAGTGAGGCCTGAGCTCGGAATGCAATCTCATTGGGTATAAGAAACTCTAGTAATTGATTGATCTCAGACTCTCCTTTTAACCCCTTTAATGCCAATTAACATTACCTTTTTCAGTGGAAGAGGGGTTAATTTGGAGCCATGCTGCAACTTTATCTAGCATGCATGACCTTCACCCAAAGGAGACATTCTAAAAAAAAAAACCTTATATGAGGATGAAAAGAAGCATTGTGATTGTATCCCGCAGTGGCACCACCAGTCTCATTGCTTGAGGATTCAGAAGAAGTGTCTCCTGTCAATTGCCTGTCTTGGGTTTCGAAGGCAGTACAGAGGTTCTCTGTCACAGTGGGCAGAAGCTCCCTTGTGAAGTGACTCAAGGCATCAATGATTAGACCTATGTGCAGCGGGACAAAGCAATGTTTGACATTCCACTCTCAGACCGTAATTGAAATTCATTATTAACTCAATAGGTTTGGGTTCTCAGCTCAGCCAAGTGAAGTGGCTTTGACAGCTTTGGAAGTCACCTCTTCAGACTCGCTGCCCTAGCAATCAGCCATCCACTCATGCATGGGTATTGCCCGTGACATCATCTCAAGGGGACTGTCAAAGTACTACACAAATTAAAAGAGAGCTCCAACCCTCTCCATTTACCACATATCATAATCACTAAGATTCAAAAGAAACAGAAATTATTATTTGTAGAGCAGTCAGATTGAATTATAAATCCATAAAACGATCAGATTGTTTAAACACTACATGAATAATTTAGATTACCATGTGAGGAATGATAATATATAGATTTTTTTTCCATAAAGATTCATACAAAAAAACTAATACGGGCAATGTACACTCCCCCGACCAAAAAAATGTACATTTACCACGGGATTTTATTATTATTTATAAAGCACCAAAATATTCCTTAAAAATGCACAATAGGTAGACTAACAAGCAAGTCATTTTAACAAGACAGGTTGGTCATACATGAACAGAATATGGAGAGGGCTCTGCTCAAATTAATTTATATTCTTAGTGAATTATGTTATAATTACAATAAATAAAAGGTAATTTACATTATATAACCTAGTAAAAATCAGTTGCTTGGGGAGTTTACAATACAATGAGATTATAAATTTCACTGGAGTACAGAAGGGAAATAGTATATTATGAATGCTTACTTGTTGCAATATGTGCACAATATTCAACATCTGTACTTATATTGTCACAATTGGGTGTGTGCAAATAGTAACTCAGTAACCAGCACAAAAAGTACTAAAGATATTTATTTTAACCAAGTATATCTATTAGAAAAACAAACGAAAAACATATGAAAGCTTTTTCAAAAAAACATTCACATCAAAATCAATTATATGCAAATCACTGTTACAAAAAACCTACAGTGAACATGATTGGATGACACAGTACATCAGTTAGAAAAGTTAATGCAAGCAAATCCCCAGGACTAGATGGGATTCATCCACAAGTATATAGGGAGTTAAGTGTGGTAAATCCAAACCATGTTTAGAAATCTTTCAATATCCTTTTCTTTTAGGAATTGTACCATAGGATTGGAGAAAACCAGATATAGAGTTTGTATTTACAAAGGAATCAAAATCTCTGCTTGAAAATTACAGACCTGTGACCTACTGTGGAAATCTTTTGCAAGGTTATTAAAGGATCATATTCAGACATTTATACAAACATGTCATTAGTAGTAATCAACATGCTTATATAATAGACTGATGTTATCAAACTAACTTAACTGCTTTCTGCCAATAAGTCAGTAGAAATATGGACATGGGTTTATAATGGATGTGATCTATTTGGATTTTGTTAAGTCATTTCATATGGTTTCTTATAAAAGGCTACTGTACAAATTAAAAGCAATTAAAAGAATAACAATTATTGTTCTTGGATTGAATGTTTGCTTAAAGACAGAATGTTGAGAGTAGTTGTTGGACAAAAGTGGTAAGTGGAGTCCTGTTCTTGTTTCACTTCCCTTCAACCTGTTCATTAATGATCTAGCAACAGGTATTGAAAGTCATGTGTTGGTATTTGTCTATGATACAAATCTAGGTAAGGTAGTGTGAACATCATATTACTTTGCTGCAGAGGGGTTTGGGCAGGCAAGTGGTAAATTAGATTTAATGTAGATAAATGCAAAGTTATGCATTCTGGGCATATTTCGTAAGAAAAAATTTATGGAACATACACAGAGTGCACGGGATACCTACAAAAAGTATATGGAGAATGGAAGATTTTGGCTAAGAAGAAAGTCTATAAAACTTGAAGTTGTTTATTTTTTAAATAAAATGCAGCTCAGCTATACAGAGGAGAGGGTCTTTACAGTAAGAACAATAAAGGTGTGCAATTCTCTGCCTTGCTTATAAAATTCTATACAGATTTTTTAAAACGTCTTCATGTTTTTTTGGAAGAATATGTATAATTGTTCATATTTGGGGTAACAGCTTTCCAAGGACACATACTACTGCCAGTCGAGAGGGATATAATGATGCTGGAGATACACCTCTGCCAGTAAAGTGGTTATCCTCTGTATCTGTAGTGTTTTAAAATGAAAGATTACATGGTGCTTGGAGTAACCTGAACCTAACACTTGGTTGTTATTTATGACTTCCTAACCTTTCTAAGCCTATTACTAAATTATTTAATAGATTGCACCCCAATCTGAACTTGACTACTCCATACCCAAACTTTTAAAATTGTTTAGTTACCTGTAATTTAAATATTAACTTCTTATAGACTAACCTTGGCCTTAGTGTAATTTGAAACTATAAAAATAATCCTTACCCTAACCCAAAACCTGTTAAACATGGCATCATTATCTTTCTGTTCCTAACCCTGCCACGATAATTAGATTTAGGTTTAATGATACCAAACAGCTGTGAAATAGATGGGTAATAGTCTTTAAACAGCCTGTATCATATTGTAGGTTTAGGAAGTTGATAGTTGTAAATTGTGTCTAGGTTCTTATTGAATGGGTTTTATTTGTATTCTGTACCACTCCATTTATTGTGGATAATGGTTACACGAGGGCTACATATTTAACTGGGATATGCTAAACTGATATTAAGAATGTCTGTGACCAAAGTATGTTTTAAGAGAGCCTTGTGACCCTCCAGCATCGCCATTTATTTGTTAGGTACCAAACCGATTTTAAAAAGTATTTTTTAGTCCCTGGAGCCCACTCCATTATTTAACACCTTACAGTGCTGTAGGCTTTGACACACGCATACTATGTTCTAGCTATTCCAATTCCTAGCAATTACTCTGATACATTTGCTTTCCTGGATTTGTTTGACGGTGACACCCAGACGGTTGAAGTTGGCCAGGTGCTGTCACTCACTTACAGTGTATTCCTGCGGAGAAGGTGTGATCTACCTCCAGGGGTGGATTAATTTGTCTAAATCCCTAATTGGGTACTCAACAAGCCTCTGCATTTCTAAGTGTAAGTACAAGAGAAAGTGATGGATTTAGTGATTGTATCAGGCAATAGACATGAACTTTGGAAGACATGATTTTTGTGTATCAAGTTTATATGTTTTATTATATAGTAACAATGCAAATTTTCAACTAATGGGCTGTCCTTTACAATAGATCGTTTAGTTGGTAGCAAGTAATTTTTTTAAATAATAATGTATATATTTAAAAATATTTAAAAAGCTACTGGCAAAACTGTAATTGCCAAAATCACCATAGTTGACTACCGAAAAACACACTGTCGTTACACCGCTGTTGACAAGTTGCTATTTGTAACAATGTCGCTAGTGTAAGTCCTTCTGTGATTTTGTGGTGGCTGTGCTTTAAGAGAGCAGTTAAAAAGGTGATCCACTCTTGCCCAGGACCTGGTAGGCAACTGGAGGGGTGTGCAATAATATATTGGGGGGAGGGGTGACGAGCAATTCCACAAATAGTAAAGGTGATCCTAAGCTAAGCATATAGTTAAGCAATTTTCTTTAAAAGTTAATGAGTGTTTTGTGTTATGGCGCCTTACTTGATACCTGTTATGATATATTATAAAATATTATAATATATTCTACAATTCAAAATAAATTAGAGAGTATTATAATTATGCTAATTTTATTAATGACACTATAATGTTCTCAAGTTTTTAATGATTGACCATCCTGGCATGCAAGGTGAAGCCAGGAAAAGCAGGTTTATTGGAGCAGACAAAAAAAGCAGGTTTCGACCAAGCAGGGTCTTTGCCAGCTTGAAAAAGACTCTGCTGGGTGAAAACATTGCTTTTTTTGGTCTGCTCTAATAAACCTGCTTCACTTGGGTTCACCTTGAGTGCCTGGACTGTCATTTATTACTCAGAAATGTAAAGTGAGATTTCTCCAGTTGCACTCTGGAGATCAGGAGAGTGCAGTGTATTCCACCTTAATTACAACGTTTTAATGATAACATTTCCAAAGTGAATCCTTTAATAAAGTTTGCAGTAATAATTATAAATCAGTTGCCATTTTAGCTTAAACCTGGAGCATGCAATAAAATGATTAATGTCCTATGGGGAGAAAATCACAATAGAGGTTCCTTTTTACAAGTCACTGTCAAAAATATAAATGCAATGTATTGCTCTGCAATGCTGTGCATCCCAATAAGCAGAACTTTAACCCCTCAGGTGCAATGGCATATCAGGACTGTCATGGTCCTCAAAAGGTTAAGAGAGGTAAGTATTTAAGCTGCCTGTCAGGTATCCTTGCAACACAATGCATTGCTCCAGAGTAACAGAGTGTGGATGAGATTATATTGTGAGGCTAGTTACAAGAGTGGGTTGGTAAGTAGGTGAAATGTTTATGTGATTGTGTAGAGTGGCTGTGGAACCTGCCTTATCGGAACAGAGGAGCCCCTTTGTGTCTCCAACATGCCAGAACAATGTCACGAAGCTAATACCACGGGCCAATCTATGTGAAACCGACTGTGACTTTATGCATGACAGATATGAAGTCAGGCATGGGGCAGGTCAGCTTAGGAAAGGACTCAACGGTTGGCTTGAGAAAATAAGGTTCATACAGTTATCGTACAAAGGCCAAAAACTGCCATGTCTTCCCATCTATAAAATAATAAAAATAAAGTGACATGTAACTAGTGCCTGTTTAGATATCTCCTTGTCAAAGCTTTTATTCAAACTATTTTTAGCATTAATGCTTCAATGCCTTTATTGAGGTGTCTATTGTAATCCTTTGCCACTCAACAGATTGGGATATTTTTCAGTAAAATATTGTAAAATGGATTCGATGGACTCATGATATAAGCTAATTTTCATTTTCAACACAATTTCAATCTTCAGCTGGGAGATTTAAATGTTAGAAAAAACAAAGTATCCCAAAAAGGGACTAGTGGTGTGTAAAAGGCATCTTAAAAGAGGGTAACCCTCAATTATAGTAAATAGAAAAATACATAAATGTCCACTCAAAAAGTCAATGAATGTCACCTAAAAAAAGAGAAAATATGCATTATGCCACTAGCTAGATTAGATTCAACTTCATGGTCGCTAACTAAACATTCTATTACCTCCTTTAAAGATACTCCAGTGGCAAGACATGCGAGGGCATATCATAGAGATTCTGCTAAGGGCATGACATTTTCGTGCATAGAAAGAGTCAATCTAGGTAGGAGGTGAGGTGATCTTGATTAATTCCACAAAAAAAGAGGGTGCTTTTGGATTTATAAATTGGGCACTCTGGCACCCTACCACATCATATAACATGGGACAATGGGTTAAACATTGATATCACATATTGATAGTTCACTTCCCTTCTGGTCCCCTCTTTGATGTGTATTACTAGGGGTCTATACATTCAACACATGACACCACCCATCCTAGCTATGACTTTGACTAGCGAGACTCCTGCCATTCTCCTCCTCCCGTTGGTGCAGTGTGGAGGTGGGAGTGAGTCTCCACATGTGGGGGGTATGCTATGGGTAAGGTCGGAGATGATAGAACGGCTAACTGGCAACGCCCCCCAGAGCCGCTATTGGCTGAGGCTATCATGTGTTCTGCCTTTTCGGCCCGATATACAGAGACCCAGTTGAGCGGCTAGTTTGAATGCTCTGGACGAAGGTGCTTTTGTAGCGCTGAAATGCGCATCGGCTTGCTGTTATTTTCTTTATTTTTAAACACTTCACAGTTATTTTTTGCACTATGGTTATGTAGTTAGCAGTATCTTATGGGGGAAAACTAAGTACTCTATATAACTAGATGTGAGGGCGTAATTTGAGGGAGTTTTGGAGCTGGATTGGGGGAACAATTGGGAGATGTTCTGGGAGTTTTCAAAGTACAGGAAGTTTGATTGTTTGGCAGCATCAAGCCTTCTTTTTGCTAATAATTTTTTTAGTTAGCCACCATGAAGTCGAATCTAATCTAGCTAGTGGCATGAAGGCTGATGCATATTTTCTTTTTTTTAGGTGCCATTCATTGACCATTCCATGCAACACTTACTATATGTAACAGTCATCTGTTGTTTGGACACACTGTTACACAAAGCTAAATTTTTATCTCTCTGTATATGATGTTTCCAATTTCTTTAAAGGATCACTATGAGGTCACGAACACAAACATGTATTCCTGACCCTATAGTGTTAAAACCAACATCTAGCCCCCCTGGGCTCCTCGTGCCTCCATAAATATAGCAAAATCTTACTGTGTTCAAGCCAGAAGCTGTAGATCTGCATGCTGTTTGCCTACAAAAAAAACAAGCAGTCTGCTGACATCATCAGAAGTGGTAGCCTGATCCAATAACAATGCTTCCCCATAGGATTGGCTGAGACTGACAAGGAGGCAGATTAGGGGCAGAGCCAGCATGATTCAAACACAACCCTGGCCAATCAGCATCTCCTCATAGAGATGGATTGAATCAATGAATCTCTATGAGGAAAGTTTAGTGTCTGCATGCAGAGGGAGGAGATACTGAATGTTTTGATGCATTTTAGGCAGCCATGACCAGGAAGGATCTCTAACAGCCATCTGAGGAGTGGCCGGTGAAGTTATCACTAGGCTGTAATGTAAACACTGCATTTTCTCTGAAAAGACAGTGTTTACAGCAAAAAGCCTGAAGGTAATGATTCTACTCACCAGAACAAATTCAATAAGCTGTAGTTGTTCTGGTGACTATAGAGTCCCTTTAATTCAATACAGTTCACCAATAGAGATGTCGCGAACCGTTCGCGAACGTCCCGCGAACGGCTCGCCACGGTTCTTGGCGAACCGTTCGTGGCGAGCTCCGGTCAGCTGACACATCCCGGCCAATCTCCAGCAGACCCTCCCTCCCAGACCCTCCCACCTCCTGGACAGCATCCATGTTCGCGACATCTCTATTCACCAATACTAGTGGTGTAGATCTATGGGGCTCTATATTCCCTATTTAATACTACCGCTAAAGGTTTTTGCAACTGATATATAAAGCTCATTAGGTTTTTTTCTTGGATTTCTTCCTACTCCCCCTCCCATCCCTCTCAGCCGACTCCCATCCAGTCCACTATAGAGTCTCCCTCATTTGCCACTGTGCAGAGCCTTTAATTGTTGCTCTTTCTAATGGGTTTATGTTGTATTGTATTGTATTTTTGTGTGTCTTTAATAAAATTGTAGACATTTCAATAGAATTGTATTTTTGTTGTATATCCTCAAGGAATCTTTTTGTGTCCAGTGGATTTCAAACCCAGTGGACATTTATGTATTTTTGAGATTTAAGTTTTGGCAAAAAATCAAGGAGTAAGCTAGTTTTGCTTCCCAGCCATTCATTTGCCAATTTTACTATGGCTTTAAACTCAGGTGTTCCAGAAAAGCAATTTGGTGGGCAGGTTTTATAACCCAAAGGATACTGTACGACAACAACATATTCTGCCAGTGGTGGTCCAACTGGGCACTAAATTGCTACAATAAATGACAAAGAAAAGGCAATTCCAAACAGTTAAAAAAAACATTCCAAGCAACACAGTTTGACAACTAACCAGTGCTGGTAACTCTAAATCAGAGAGAGGTATGGGGTCCCTATAAACCTCTATTTTGAAATATACTCCTCAATCTTCCACCGCCTGACGCGTAATGGGATGGCAGTTAATAAAAACGTATAGGATCCAGATGATTGCCTACTGTTTATTGCTCTTCTGTGTGAGCTGTGCGGTAAAGGGCGAAGAATAATTGTTGGCTAGGAGCCCTAATCCAAGAGAGTAACTGGGGTTGTCCAGTTACCTGTGTTAAAAAGTTATAGTACCAAACATTCCTGTAACCCTCTACTCCTTGTCCAAAAAACAAAACAAAATTAAAGCAGGAAAAAAATCTGAATCCCTTAATCCCATAATGGGTGGATGGGGATGGGGGAAACCTCCAGTCCTGTCACTATTCTGCCCAAGGGACTGGGAATGCACCAGTCTTCTACTGGGTCCACCATTTTGCATAATTTAATTATTTTTTATTATTCAAATGTATTTATTTATTAGATGCTGTGCTGGAAGGGTTAAGTAAGGAGGATTGTGTTGGTGTTAATTTTGGATTTTTTTTACAGGAATAATCTCAATCACAGGCATTGAATAGGTTATTGAATAACTTCTGCTTGCAACTTTTTTTTTTTTTTTTTTTTTTTTTTTATTTTTGTCGTGCAAGAATTTACAACAGTGTCTGTGTAGCCACAACAGCTGTAACAGACGCAGTCAAATATAACATAGTAAAACATTTTCGTGGCATAAGTTAACTCACCACGTTTTTGTAATTTAATGAACAGGAAAGACAACCTTAAGCAGTGTACGGTTCAACACAGGTATGGGCAAAAGCGTTTAAGTAGCTGGGTCACATGTTGGTTTACGCCTTTATGTGAGGTATACAGTATTGTATTCCAGCAGTGTTTGTGGGTGTCGTGGTATATCTGTCGCTTGGGGCCTATCTGCTAAGCAGCAGCTTGATTACTTTAGCTGGTTTAGTGCTGCAAAATGTTTAGTATTGGCCTAAGTCAGGGCTGATCCTGTGTGAGTAATTAAGCATTAATCAGGAGCAATCGTTAGCTGAGGTATAGTGTAGGACAGAAACATAGCTGATCTTATGGTGCTCCAGCAATATTTGTGAGTCCAGGAGCATATATTTCGCTTGGGCCCACCAGTTAAACAGCAGTTTTCTGCTTGCAACTTTTAACCCTCCATCAGGTGTCATTTCCCCATGCTTAACATTTCCACCACTGGCAGAATTTATTTGTTTTTTTTTAAACTATTCATGGGAAAAGTGCTAAATAAGGAGCAATCACCATGGAAACCAGTAGAATGTCCTTAAATATTTAGCACTCTGTGTCAGAAGAGCTCCCTTTTTACCTTGCACATCACAGCCCTTAGTGGTGTTAGTGGGAAATGTAATCAATTCAGTATGGTAGCGATGCACCTCGAGCTGTATTAAATCCCTCCAATAATCTACTAATAACACATAAAATATTATAGTGTCAGCATGGGGGGCATCGCTGGCTGTACTGTTAGAGACACTAGGCAGTTTTCACAACCAACTTTGGGATGAATCCCACAATGGGTTTTAAATTACAAAAACAGAAATCCGACCTGGAAAAATGTTTCTATGTTGCTACAGGACACAGCGATATGACAGCTTCAAAACATGTCATCCAGAACAAATGGCCTGCATATGATTCATTCCAAAGCTTATTTATTCCATTAATCCACACTGTATCACTGGTGCTTTGGGGGGCAGTTTATCTCAGTCTCTCAGATTTGACCTCTTGCTCCTCCACCCCAGCCCTCTCCCTGTTTTTCTTCTGACTCCTCCACACATGTTCTTGCAGGCCGCAGTTTTAGGGAAGGCCTTGAAATTGAGGTTTTCTTCTCTCAACAGCACTGACCTACTCCCTCTATACACTTGGCAGTTTCTGATTATTGTGGCTCATATTAATGATGATAGGAGCAGTTGATGCGGGGGTTGGGGCAAAAAGATAAAGAGAAAGGAGTCAAAAAATTCTCTTGACAATGAACATAAGGCCTAACCTTGGCTGGCAGGCTCGTGACAGTGATAAATGCAAATAGGTATCAAATAATCTAGGAATCTTAAACTGTGTTTTGCTTTCAATAATCTGTCTTTTTAGGCCTGGGGACTAGTTTTGCTTTCTTCTCTCTTCTGGTTTTTCATTCATGTTTTCACAGACAGGACACTGAGACATGACAGAGTCTGTCTGTCTATCTATTCAATACATTCTATATGTTTTCTATTTTTAGTGCATCTGTATGTCAACTGAACAGGCAGAGGAGGGCTGGCAAGGAGGCCAGGGTGCATTTAGCCATGGGCCACTAGTATAGAGAGCTGTGTGGACTGCTGCCTCACAGCACAGTACAAAATATATTATGTAACCTTATATTTTCACTATTATTGTGTGCCAGTTTTTGCAGTGTTAGTACGAAGCATTTAGTATGAAATGTAGAAAGGGTGCAGGGTGTGTTGTGACAATGTGCTGCTTCGGTCTCAAATAGGGCTATTTGTTTGTACCCCAGTTGAACCCCAGGCCAAAAGTAGTCAGCTCCCCCTGTGAACAACGTTCCCATGTTGCCTTTTAATTAACATAACCTGTGTAGATTGGTAACTCTTATTGAAATGGATACATGTTACATTTTTACTTCAGGAGTAAAATCTATATTGATGCAATGCTCCCCTCTACAGTCTACACTAAAATAACCACTAATACAAGTGCCTCAATTGCAGTCTGTTATCACAAACTGCAGTGACTAGCTCCGGTAACTCATTTTGTGAACTACATTTCCCATGATACAAAGTTAGGTGCAAGTCACATCTGAAATTGGCCATCAATCAGTACAACATCCGTACCTCTGTACTCATATGAAAATGCAGTCCTGATGAAAGTTCACACTGAGCACTAAAACGTCGACCTAGATGGTGACTTTACAATTCAAGAAGGAAAACTGTGGAACTCATAGAGTGGTATTTTTTCATATTTTTCTATTTGGAGTGTTGACAAGCGAAGATATTTGAAACAGAGTTGGAGTGCAAAGAATTGGACTATTATATATATACATACCATATACAAGATCAGTGTTATTTACTACACTGAGAATTCAAAGTTAATTTCAAATTTAAGGCCAGACTAGTCAAATTAAAGGAAGCATAACTGACGTGAGAATTTTTCCAGTTTGGCTATTTTGGCCTTAAATTTGAAACTCACTTTGAATATTCACATTCGTGAATAACCCTGTAAGTATTTATAGACACTGTGCAAGTCCTGTGAAATATAATGCAGTACCTGATTACTGCAATGCTTACAAGACAAAAAAAACAACAACTTTATGCTGAGCAATTAGTTCCCTCCATTTTTATTGTCAATGACTTGTTTTAATGGTTTTCATTAAGGCATAATTGATTTTATACATGTTGGATGTATAACATTTTATAGAGTTGCCATCATGCAAATTGTGTGCAAATGAAGACCTAATTATTTTGTGTTCACCTTTAATCAAAAATAGGAAAACAAATTAAAAAGGAAAGCTAAAAGCAAACATAATAGTTTCTACTAATATTGAGAGTCTTACAAGCTTATACAAAACCAGCATTCAGAGCTTTTGAATTAATTTTTTTGCTTTCCTTGTGTTCAGGGCTATTCACTTAAGTGAAAATTGTTGAGAATTGAAAGTGAATTCAAAGTAAATTTAAGGCCAAAGTAGCCAACAAATTTGAAAGTCACAGTTTAGGAAATAACCTCATTAATCTAATACAAAACGGAATTCCTAAGACTACAGTGTCACTCTGCCTCTTCCCCTCCCCTACACCCCCATCTATGGAAAGTGGTAAATAACCCTTTACAGACTTACCTGCAGGATAGGGTGACAGGGACACTGCACTCAGACCACTTCAATGAGATAAAGCACTCTGGGTGCCTATAGAGTCCGTTAAACATGTGGCATTCAGCCATTTTATACGTTGCCTGGTTAGGAGGCCATTATAAACAATGACTGGCTTCACACCTCACCTCTACAAAAACAGGGATTCTTGACCATTTTTACAGAGCATTTAAAAACTGAAGAAATGTTTATAAAACGAAGGAAAGGATGAACATGATGCACCTTAAAGACCCTAAAGATTCTTTTAGATATGTCCAGGTGCGCGTAAGGGTTAATTATCTGTTCCTGTAAAACCTTTGGAATAGTGCACTGGGCTGGATTCCCTTTGCTGGCTGGGACAAGCAAATGTTATTATACTCAGGATTTGATTCCCATCAGAGGCAAACAGAGAGAAGCTTTAAAAATGTTGAAGAACAGGCTCAGGTTTAGCTACAGTGATCAGAAAAGGGAGCGGCTTTTTGTGTTAGCTATAGCAGAGGATTCACAGCGCCACTGCATGATATGTGAAGGTATATAATAAATATACTAATATAAATAAGAATGTATTAGTGTGTATATATATATGTATGCTTACAATTTGATATAAATGTTACCATAGTTCACTGTTTAGAAGATAAAATCCACAACTTCCTTCCATAGTTCATCACCAAATGCACAGGTGAAGCGTGAAGATTAAACATTACATAGGAGATGTTTTTAAAATGTATTTTGTAACATTGTGTGTATCTCTTCAAATTGTTTCTTGCAAGCGGAAGGTGAAAAGATCCAGGTAAAAAGAGTCAAGTCCATCTGTTACCATATCATATTAACTAATATATCATTAAAGATGCATTTAAAAAAAAAAATGTATACAGAATCTGATAAAGTAATGTGTTTAAGCAGAAAGCAGAGTATTCCACATATTGCCCTCCCTGTAAACAACCAATTCCTCTGCCATAGGCAAAATCTCCTTTCTTCCAGTCTGATTTGTTGACATATTGTACTTTGTCCAGTCCTACTAATGGAATATGAAAATTGTATTTTATCACGAAACTAATTTAAAGAAAAAATATTTCTATGCATAAGAATACTTTATTGGATTTTGCCACTGCTGCCTGACATTGTGCCTTGTTGTCTAGTATGTTGTTGATATCTGCTTCCTACGTATTCTCATTTATTGTTCTTCGTAGCTTGATTTATAAGTTGCTTGTGCACTTCTCATCCCAAAATGCATAAATGTATTTATCTGCATTAAATCTTACATGCTCCTGAATCTGGTAATGCTATTAATTTATTATTTGTCCAAAAGAAGGGCTTGGGTGATATAGTTGGATACTTAATGTGTCTGGCTTAAAAGAACACTCCATTGAAAAGTAACTTTTTTAAAAACAATTAGTAGATATCCCCAATTAAAAATAAATACACGTTTTCTTTAGGGTTATATATTAAAAAAAAAACAGCTTGGAAATGTTGCATACAAGCTTTCTGCAGCCTTGGCATACCCTTCCCTCTCTCCCAGCACAGACTTTCAGTCTGTGGCAGGGAAGTGCTATCAGAGGTTGCTCATTGAAAAGCCTCTGTACTTCAAAAAAATATATATAAAGCCTCTGTACTGTAGTGCGAGCACAAGCTCTCGGCTTTCCAATGCTTTTCAATGAGGTGTTATACAGCTCATTAAGAAACAAGGAAGGCAGGAGTGTGCTAGCCCAATGCACCTGCCACTTCTGTTAGCTCTGTGGACCTAACAGAAATGGAAGAAAACCTCAGTGGCAATCTGAGTGACAGGCAAAGAGATGTTTCTGGCCTAAATGATAAAAGTGCAAATTTCTATTGAAATCGTAACTTTTATAAACTGTTACAAATGTGACAGACTGCAGACACATAACGCACTTCAGCAAGCTTTAACTGACGGATGAATATCTTGTCATAGAACCAGGTGACTTATAGCGCTGTAGATGGATTCTAGACACATCACACTATTATACTGATGATAATGGTTTGGAAGCAGTAAGGTCAGGCATATGGACCACATGGTAATGAATGCATGGAATATCATTGGTTTTTAAGGGGTCTTCAAGAGCTGCTTTAATACAGTCTCAAATTTTATTTGAGGCATGATCCTCATGTAATCACAGCTTGGATATCGTATTCTTTTTTTTTAGTGTAAAATATTTATTGGAAACTGAGCATGATCAACATATAATTACTTCTAGCCCTGGCCACCCAAAGCATAGGTTCAGATATAAAATTGCACTTTACAGTAGTTCCCAACAGCTTATGCAAAGCATGCATAATTGATGTAGAATCTTTGATCAAAAGTAGTTTTTTTTTCCAATCTTTATTTAACTTTCACAAAGATTACAATAAATGCCAAATAAAAAGTAAGTAAATAAAATGCCATAGGTAATTTATCTTTTGATCAGATGTAGTTTTGGCACTAATTAGAGACTAAAAAACTGGTCTGTAACTCGAAATTTCATCTGAGGTCTTTAGATTAATATTTAAGATTATGCAGCTTGGTATGTGATTTGTAATTTACATAAATTTCATCCTACATCAGGCATCATTATTTAGTCAACCCCCAACATACAAAATTATGATAACACCTTACATTAGAAGTAAATGTCATGCGTTAAAACATATGTGCAATGTGGTTGGATTGTTATTGGTCCATGTAGTTTGTCTGTTAAGCACACTTGAGCAGCAGTTATCATGATATGCAAACACAAACACAAAACCAATTACACATTTAATCAGTTTATTTATTAAACTATTTCAGATCATGCTTAATCCCCATAACAACTCCACAGATGTCTTTTTCAAAATTTATTTTTGGAATTCCAAACGCAGCTTTTCAACCCTTGTGAGATTTTTCTATGACTCCATTATTGATTTAGAGCCAAATATGCAATAATGATGTGCAGCCCCTTTGGGTAATCACAATATATGTCTATATGATTTCCATAAATTGGCTTGAATACAAAGTCCAATTTAACCACTTACTAACATATTTACCATGTTTCTTTTCAATTTTGTAAACGTTACAGGCTTGACCAGTTTTAAAAAAAATGTTTTATCTAGCTCTACATCAAATTATTTTATAACAAAATTTAAAATAAAATCAACTCAGTCCACTAAATGTCAGTGAAAATGCTGTTGTTACTAAAATAAATTTTGTTCAGAAGTCAGTTTAAAAATGTGTGATATTTAGTATCAGGGCTACCTGCCTGGCCTCTAAAAATAGCTCCACTTACCTAAACCCTGCTGTGCAGGACCGCTGAAATGTGTCTCCTGAGTGAGCATGCATGGCCTGGCTACGCTCACTAGCAGAATGTCTTCACATGTTGCTAAACTATAACCTTGATTTAATCATTTTGTTAAGCTTTCGAACATGATTTAATATTTTTGGATAAGCTTTTAAAAATATTTTTAAAAGAATTAGAATATAAAAAAATATATATACATGTGTTTGTCCTGAGGAAAGATCCCATGTGGCACCTTTATGTGACACCTTTACAAGTAAAACCTTTTAATTGGTAATCCTTGGAGTGCTGATAATTTGTATACAGTAACTGACAAAAGTGAGTACACCCCCTCACATTTTTGTAAATATTTTATTATATCTTTTCATTTCACAACACTAAAGAAATGACACAATGTAAAGTAGTAAGTGTACAGCCTGTATAACAGTGTAAATTTTCTTTCCCCTCAAAATAACTCACACAGCCATTAATGTCTAAACCGTTGGCAACAAAAGTGAGTACACTCCTAAATGGAAATGTCCAAATTGTCAATATTTTGTGTGGCCACCATTATTTGCCAGCACTGCCTTAACCTTCATGGGCATGGAGTTCACCAGAGCTTCATAGGTTGCCACTGGAGTCCTTTTCCACTCCTCCATGACGACATCACAGAGCTGGTCGATGTTAGAGACCTTGTGCTTCCCCACCTTCCATTTAAGGGGTGCCCCACAGATTCTCAATAGGGTTTATGTCTGGAGACATGCGTAGCCAGTCCATCACCTTTACCTTCAGCTTCTTTAGCAAGGCAATGGTTGTCTTGGAGGTGTGTTTGGGGTCGTTAACATGTTGGAATACTGCCCTGCGGCCCAGTCTCTGAAGGGAGGGGATCATGCTCTGTGTCAGTATGTCACAGTACATGTTGGAATTCATGGTTCCCTGGATGAACTGTAGTTCCCCAGTGCCAGCAGCACTCATTCAGGCCCAGACCATTACACTCCCACCACCATGCTTGACTGTAGGAAAGACACACTTGTCTTTGTACTCCTCTCCTGGTTGCCGCCACACACTTAACACCATCTGAACCAAATAAGTTTATCTTGGTGTCATCGGACCACAGGACATGGTTCCAGTAATCCATGTCCTTAGTCTGCTTTTTTTCAGCAAACTGTTTGCGGGCTTTCTTGTGCATCATCTTTAAAAGAGGCTTCCTTCTGGGAAGACAGCAATGCAGACCAATTTGATGCAGTGTGCGGTGTACGGTCTGAGCACTGTGCTGCATCTCAGTTTCAGGGTTTTGGCGATCTTCTTATACCTTAGGCCATCTTTTTGTAGAGCAACAATTCGTTTTTTTCAGATCATCAGAGAGTTCTTTGCCATGAGGTGCCATGTTAAACCAGTGTCCAGTGTGAGAGCGATAACACCAAATTGAACACACCGGCTCCCCATTCACACCTGAGACCTTGTAACACTAACAAGTCACATGACACCGGGGAGGGAAAATGGCTAATTGGGCCCAATTTGGACATTTCCACTTAGGGGTGTACTCACGGTTTAGACATTAATGGCTGTATGTTGAGTTATTTTGAGGGGACAACAAATTTACACTGTTATACAGGCTGTACACTTACTACTTTACATTGTAGCAGAGTGTCATTTCTTCAGTGTTGTCACATGAAAAGATATAATAAAATATTTACAAAAATGTAAGGAGTGTACTCACTTTTGTGAGCTACTGTATATATATACATATATATATATATATATATATGTATATATATATATATATATATATATAAATATATCAAATATAAAAATAAACTTTAAAAATATTAAATAATTTGAAAAAGCTTATCCAAAAATATTAAAGTCTATGAATGTAACTGAGTAAGTAATTTGTAATATGATCAAACAGGTTTACCCTACTAAGGGGTGCCCTACATTTCCTGTTGAGTTTAATTAACATTAACAATGCCCTTTCGTATCTCGTTCTTGCCCCTCCTTCTTTAAAAGGCACAGCTGGTCACCCTAATTTGTAGACACAGCTGCTTATTATGAGTTATTTTGATACAATCACTCACATCAAACATTATGAATTACTACAATAGATAGAAACTGGAGTAGGAAAAATGAATCGATGGATTCAGAATCAACGTGAGACTTTTCTCCTAATACTCTGTGGAGTTTTTTACATTTATTTATTTTGCCTGCTTTAATGTATTCTGCTCTGACATCACAATTCTTAATGTTAGTTGCATCCAACGAGACTTCCCAGAATCCTCAGCAGAGACGTGTCTCGGATTTAGATTGACAGTCAGTGGCCAAACCGAAGTGAAACCAGATGAGTAAACTGGGAAAAGGTGGGAGGAGGGGTTGATATAGGGAAGCTCCCTACTTTAGTTTCGGACTTATCACTGACCTACAGCCTTATCTAAGTGGGTTCTGACCTCTGTGAGATGATTTGAAAGAATCTGAAGATCTGCAGCTGTAGGGCAATAGGACTGACGTTGAGAGAATGGAATTTGCATAAGTGCTGTCGGATTCGCTGCTCTTTGCAAAAATATTTATTATTATCCCACTTCTTTCGAAATTATTTTGGAAATATTACACCCTTACCGTAGTAATTACTACTAGAATCTTGCGTAAAAAGTGATCAATTTAATATACTTGAATTCAACACATAATCATGAATAAACACTCAAATATTTCTGACACAAGTATATACTAATATATTTTATTTATATTGTTAATGTCTATGTTTTGTTATGTGCTACTGCCACAAAGAAGATATGACCATTATTATAAAATGTTTATTTTCATTTGATCTGTGTTTGCGCTTGCAATTCCAACACAATATGTCTATCATTTAATGCAATACATATTTGCAATGCATATTTTTTATATTACATGTAACACAATACATATATATAATTTTTTGTTATTAATTAATTTTTGTTGACAGATGTGTCCATCGTTGGCCATCAAGAAGATTCCATAATTTTCTGCCAGTGCATTGTTATAAAATCTAGAATTGAAAAAGGAGAGGTATTGTTTTGTTCTTTAAATCTATGTTCATTGAATGTATTTATTCATAAAGACAAAAAGAAACACTTACGGTATTTATAGCATTGGCAGATAGGGCTGCTGGATCAGTCATGTGTTTCTGAATATCTATCACTTCCCTATCACACCCACCACTCATGGGCAGGGCCCATGGAATGGCAACCTGCAATTTGTGTAATTCATAGCGAATAAAAGAGTAAGTCAGTTCAAGGATGAATTTCAAAGGAACAGCTCGAATAAAGTGGTTTTTGCAACACCTATATAAACATAGGTTTTATTGGTGGTTTTTTGGGGGGTTGAAGCCCTGGATGTGGGGCTCTTTAGTCCCATATCTCTACAGTTGGTGGAAGGGGTAAGAGGATATTAGTGGTTTTTTTTTTGGTTTTTTTTAAATCACAGAGCAGCTATTTAAAGCAGCCACCAAATACAAAAATAAATATCAATAGAATAATACCTTTAGGCTATCCAGGGGGAGGTGGTGGTGTTCCCCAGGTAACGGTCGTGTAGGGGTGCTGGGGAACAGAACTTTGCTGCAACCCCCTCTACTAGTTAGGTAGCAGAGAAGAGTTTAATCTATTCTGTATTCTAAATATAGCCTCCTGTGTCAGAGCCATTTACAAAGTAATGCTGAATCCCCCTTATTCAAACTCAGTTTCTATTAAGTTTCCTCTATGAAAAAATTAAACGTATTTGTTAAATAAAAAAAAATAAAAAAAATACTATACCCTATAGAGAAATTTAACATTTCATTGACATTTGATAGGGCAGCACTGTGTAGCAATGTGACTAAATAATCAGATTAAAAAGAGTCCTTCTAAAAAAGTCTAAGATTTTAAAGTCATAAAGAGATATCCAGAGCTAAATTTTGAAGCACCTGTACTTCTTGCAGATATTATGGAGCAGGGATTCCCTGTCCTTGTCTTCCTTTTATTCTGTCGAACAGAGCTGCAACAATTTGATTCACACTGACCTGCAAAACATGTACAGTGCATGCATGCCTTAAAAATTATCTGTTTTGATAATAAAAAAACACACACATAAACAAATACCAAAATTTATTTGATGGTGTGGCTTTTAAATGCTTGTCAAGTAGTTTCATTCATGTTTCTTCATGAACGAAAAAAATAATTAAATCTTAGTAACTTTCTCACCCCTGCAGAGGCAGCAAACAAGGGTAATTCACAGTAAACTATCTATTTTTAATTTTATTTGGCATTTTAATGCTTTATTATTATTGTAATTATTACTATTATGTATTAATTAGAAAGAAGGGGATTCAACTCCATCCTGCAGTGTCTCTTTATGTTATATAGAATATTTTGGTTTTAAACCAGAACAGGACATAATCTGTGGTTCAAAGAGCACTAATAGATTGATAAATTCTATATTGTGATGGAATCGCCCTGGTGCCAGTGCAGGCCAGGACTGTACAAACATAGCCCTCTCTGTAACTGCTGCCTGCACACTAACTCTGCTGCTCACCATCAGTAAGTAATTATGTTCATTGGGAGGCAATTAATTTTTCTTTTAACCTGCCAAGTTTAGATGATCTTGCAGGGCTGGTTCCTTGGTTGGTGTCCCATAGGAACCATTACTGAAAAACCAAAGAAAACATGACATTATATAAAACAGATCCCAGCTTGAGCCTCAGACTCCCCTTACTGTGTATAAATGCCTCAGACTTACCCAAACACTAAATGAAAACCTTCCAGGGATGTGTGGAATGTTCAATTTGCCAAATTTTTCAGCATACCCTTGAGGGAGTGGAAAAAATTAGTTAAGACTTATGTATATTTTAGGTCTATTACTTAACATTCTGTCAATTATCAGCTACAATGTAATATACTTGTTACATTAGAAAACAAAAGAAAGAGAAAGGGAAATTGTAAAAGGCTAACTGGAAACTGGAACAAGAAAGCTTGTGTTTTAATGCCTTTAAATCATTATGTTGGGATGATTATATTCTAATTTACCCCTATCAAACCATATATTTTTTAAAATTAGACACCCTAGGGTATTTTAAATGGTGGTATTTTAACACTTTCCTTGCACTAATTCTACCACCAGTCTACGTTAAACTTTTGGGTAGTCCTTTTATTGTGTTATTTTTCTCTCACATTGTACTTTAGGCATGGATTCCCAGCTCCTGTTATGGTTTACTGACAAAAAACACCCCAATATGTCTTCAGCAACATCTCCTGAGTGCAGTGATACCAACCATGTACTGGTATGTTGGGTTCTATGGGGGCTAAAAGACTTTATTTGGAGGAAAGCTCAAACAGTCCCCCTGCTGGCAACTCCTAGACTCCTATTGCGGCGATGTGATCATGGTGATCACATGGCCCTGGAGGGCCAAGGTGGCCAGAGCTGCTGCAGGGGAGCTGCTGGGGTCTCCGGCAGTCCCCCCCGACCATGATCGCTGCGGATCACCGGTCCAGGTAAGTCCAGGGCTCCTATTTGCCGCGGTGGTACTAGGTACGTCCGTGGTCCTTAAAGACCGTTTTTATGTCTGACGTATGTAGCACATCCACAATCATTAATGGGATATACACACATATATATAATTTCATTCTAAGTGCATTTCGATATAAAAATATATATATTAATATCAAAATACAGTTAGAATAAATTTACATATATATAATTTTTTTTAATTACTTTTACAGGTTTTTTTATTTATTTTGAATTATTATTTATTTTTATAATATAAATATACACAATTCAGGCAGTCCCCCTGCTGGCAGCACTGTGGACACCTATGGCGGCTTTGTGAATGCTCTTTTAGAGTAGTCACATGCCCCCTGCGGGTCCTAAATTGCAGAGGGGGGACTCTCTGGGCTAAGCCCAGACAGTCACCCCTAAGAAGAAGACTGATCACTGGCGGGGGAACGGCGGCGATCTGTAAGTACATGGGGAGGGAGAGGGAGGGTTAATTTTTTTTAAAATTTTTTTATTTAATTATTTTTTTATTTATATTTACTGAGTGCCATGACCCCTCAAGGCACTCAGTACAGGCAGAGCATTGGAAGCCTGCCTGATGGCTTCCGATGCTCTACAAACTGCCGGGCTCTATGTGGAGCAACCCAGAACATTCCGGGGAGAGCGATCACCCGGTGTTCTCCGGGGTCCACCCGCAGTGAGGGGCGTATTGCAGCAATGCCTCGAGGCATCACTGCAATACCATTAGAGCTGCTGGAAGCGATCATGATCGCTTACAGCGCTCTAATTCCCCTCGGACGTATCAGGTACGTCCGCGGCCCTTAAGGACCGTTTTTTTTCGGACCTGATATGTACTTGGTCCTTAAGGGGTTAAAGGGACACTATAAACAACTTTACCTTAATGAAGCAGTTTTGTGTACAGATTATGCCCCTGAAGTCTCACTGCTCTATTCCCTGCCATCCAGGAATTAAATCACTTTGTTAATACAGCTCCCTCCATGTGACTTGCACAGCCTTCCTAAAAACTTCCTTTAAAGAGTCATCTAATGTTTATACTTACTTTATTGCAAATTCTGTTTAATTTAAACGTTCTTATCTTCTGCTCTGTTAATAGCTTGCTAGATCCTGCAGGAGCCTTCTGTATGTAATAAAAGCTCAATTTACAGAGCAGAAGATAGAAACTTTTAAAGTACCGTATTTATCGGCGTATAACACGCACCGGCGTATAACACGCACCTCATTTTAAGAAGGAAATTTCAGGGAAAAAAAACTTAAAGGACCACTATAGTGCCAGGAAAACGAGTATGTTTTCCTGGCACTATAGTGGTCCTTTAAGTTTTTCCCCCTGAAATTTCCTTCTTAAAATGAGGTGCGTGTTATACACCCTCAGGGACCCCCTCCCGCCGGGCTCTGGAGAGAGGAAGGGGTTAAACACTTACCTTTCTCCAGCGCCGGGCGGGGAGCTGTACTCCTCCTCTCCTCCTTGCTCGCGACGTCATCGGCTGAATGCACATGCGCATTCAGCGGTCGCATAGGAAAGCATTTACAATGCTTTCCTATGGATGCTTGCGTGCTCTCACTGTGATTTTCACAGTGAGAAGCACGCAAGCGCCTCTAGCGGCTGTCAATGAGACAGCCACTAGAGGCTCTGGAGGCTGGATTAACCCTCAGTATAAACATAGCAGTTTCTCTGAAACTGCTATGTTTATAAAAAACAAAAAGGGTTAATCCTAGAGGGACCTGGCACCCAGACCACTTCATTAAGCTGAAGTGGTCTGGGTGCCTAGAGTGGTCCTTTAAATTTTAAATAAAGAACTTCTTACCCCCCTTTCTTACTCCCCCCTCCCCCTCTTACCCCCTTCTTACTCCCCCTCCCCCTCTTCTTACCCCCTTTCTTACCCCTCCCCTCTTCTTACCCCCCTTTCTTGCTTACTCCCCTCCCCTCTTCTTCTTCCCCCTCCTCTCTTGCCCCCTTCCCTCTTGTTGGCCCCTCCCTCTTGTTGCCCCCTTCCCTCTTGTTAGCCCCCCTCCTCTTGTTGCCCCCCCCTCTTCTTCCCCCTCCCCTTTCTTACTCCCCTTCCCCCCTCCCCTGTAGCGTGGCCGAGCCGCTCTGCGTCCGCGGTGGCCGGCCGGAGTGATAGGAAGGTGCACGCTCAGTGTGCACCTTCCTGTCAGTCCGACCGGGTACAGGAAACAGAAACTCCTGTTCCATGCGGAACAGGAGTTTCTGTTTCCTGTACCCGGTCAGACTGACAGGAAGGTGCACACTGAGCGTGCACCTTCCTATCAGTCCGGCCGGCCACCGCGGACGGCAGAGCGGCTCGGCCACGCTACAGGGGAGGTGAGTACCAACTGCAGCCGCCTGAGCGCTCTTGACAGAGCGCTCAGGCGGCTGCAGAATTTAAAGGGCCGGCGTATAACACGCACCCACAATTTCTCCCCTATTTTCAGGGAGAAAAAGTGCGTGTTATACGCCGATAAATACGGTAAGTTACATCTGATTTAAAATAAAACAATTTTGTTTCATGCAGGATATGTCAGTCACACCAGGGGAGGGCTGCATAAACAAACAAAAGTTGTGACAAACTCCCCTCTTCAAGTGAGTTTGCGACGAGCTCCTGGAGGAGCCTGCTTGCCAGCCTTCTGCCCACAGACTATGGGCCCTGCAGGGAAACCTGTAAAAGCCTACCAAAGTCAAAATTATGACTTCCAGGACCCCTGAACTGATCTGGGTAATTTTTGGATATGTTGGTCACGCAGATTAGGGCTATCAGGGGATGTAAAATTTGTGGGGATATCATGTCTTTTGGGACTTTTTAGAAATGTATGTTTTTCTGTGCTTGGAGATAATTGGATTAGAATTAGTACAGTTTTCTCCCAAGCAGAGGGGAGGGATTGTGTGTCATGTGTAGGAGTGCCTTCATTGAAAATTTGTTATTATTGGTTTGTAAGCTTGTGTCCCTGTCCCCAACAAGGTCCATGTGGGCATACACCTTGCTTGGGGATTGTCATAAAAGGCCAGTGTGGCACCATTAAAATCTATTAAACTCCAGCTTAAACTCCAAAACTGTGTGTCGTCCTATTGGAGGGAAAGAAGGTTTACTCCTGTGTCTGCTGTTCCAGCTTGCAGGGGATTCAACAGGGAAAATCCTTGTAAGGACTAGAGCTAATTCCCCATTCAGCTCCAGGAAGGAGCAGTTCCAGAGCACCAGTCAAGCCACGGCAACTGTGGACAGAAATGCTGCAGTTTGTCCCTTGTTCCAGCTAGGAAGCGGTCCTTGGCGGAGGTACCCAGCAAGGGGTACAGGGAGCTCTGTTACAAAAGTGATTGAACTACTAAATGGCAGAGTACTGATCAGTGAGATTTCAGAGTCATGATCTATACACCAAAACTGCTTCATTAAGCTAAAGTTGTTTTGGTGATCATAGTGTCCCCTTAATGCACTAGTAGTATACCTACAGAGCCATGCCCAATGAGTAGGACATTCTACGGCAACACATCTAAGGACCATATTTTATGCCAGCAGACCATTTTTGATTCTCGCCACGTTACTTGTGTATGAATCCCATGTATGAATCCCATGTGTGTCATATCCAGATAGAAGCTGTTTAGTGCGATACTAGTCTAGTAAGTTTGAATGACTGTAGGATAGTCCATGTTAAGTATGTTATTGGCTACATGTGAACAGCAAATTCACACTGCGATATGCAGATGAAAGTATTACACAGTGTAGTTTACAATACAGGGTTTAATGGCATCATGTTTGTGCAAAATAAAAAGAGAAGTTTGCTTTCTAGTAAAAATAGACATGATTGTGTAACCAATCAGAGTGCTCTAAAAGAGATTTGTCTCTCGAGATTTGTGTGGGAAAACAAAAGATTATGCAGAGAAAACTGAAGGTGGAGTCCTCACATTTTGTTTCATTTTAAAGGACCACTATAGTGCCAGGAAAATATACTAATTTTCCTGGCACTATAGTGCCCTGAGGGTGCCCCCACCCTCAGGGTCCCACTCCTGTGGCGCTGAAGGGGGAGGAAGGGGTTAATCCCTTATCTTTTTTCCAGCGCCGGGCTCCCTCTGCGCTGGGACTCTCCTCCCTCTTCTGACGTCCCTGGCTGAATGCGCATGCGCGGCAAGAGCCGCGCATGCATTCTGCCAGTCTCATAGGAAAGCATTCTCACTGAGACAGCTACTAGAGGTTGGATTAACCCTAGGTAAACATAGCAGTTTCTCTGAAACTGTTATGTTTACAGCAAAAAGGGTTAATCCTAGCTGGACCTGGCACCCAGACCACTTCATTAAGCTGAAGTGGTCTGGGTGCCTATAGTGGTCCTTTAAGCTTGCATTAATTGATATGCATGGGACCCTATTTACATACAGCATTTGGTCATGTCAACGACATCTTAATTCAGGGTTTTTTAGGTATGGCTTATTTTTGTGATAAATGTACTAAATAAGTTTATATAATGATAAATTGCCTTGTTTGTTCCCAGCCTCTGTTCCTGTCATTCAGTTATATTGGGTTACAGTGTTTCCCAGATACCTTTGGGGGAGGGGTGATCATGATCCTGCTGCCATGGGTATACTGGAGACAGTCACTTGTTACAAGAGGGCTACATTGTAACAGTAATGATACAGAGTTACATCCCTGATGATTGAAGTTACTCTTTCAATTGTATCCAGAACATGATCACGTCTCGCTCCTATTGTTGAAGAATAGAAAGAGGCCCACATTTGCGAGAGGGGCAGCTACGGCACATTAATGCTTTGTATTAAAAAGTGTAAATACACAGTATGGTGCCAATGGTTATATTAGCATCCTATCCAAACAGGTATATGTCCTGACCTTGGAGTACAAGTCTAGAAATTCAAAACAAATAAGGGGACTGCAGACATGCTAAGCACTTCATGACAGCATTATTGTACTTTTTATTTTCTTATTTTGAATGTTTATTTAAGAATGGGCAAAGTCTGGTACATCAGGTGCTGTGGACTGCAATCCAATGATGCTCAGTATGAATTAAATCATACATATGAATGTTACACTACAAGGAATAAAAAACCTGCAATGGAACTCCGAGAAGTGTTCTTGGTGCCAAATGCCTCTCATTTTAACCATGCTGCCGAAAACATGTTTTCATTGCAGGGCTTATGTGCCTCTAGTGAGTCACTCAAGCAGCTAGTAGAGGAGCTTCCAGTGAAATAGGAGAGTAAGACATATTGCCACACATGCACACTAACCTCCTATTGCTTTCCTATGTGAAAGCATTGGATTGGCTGCAATCATCGGTTTTTATGATCTAAGTCATGGAGGCGGAGCTTGCCTGTAGAGAGAAAAGGTAAGAAAAAAACAATTTTTTCTCCCTGCAGGTGGGTAACGATCACCTAAACAGACAACAAGGCATTATAGCATTAGGAATATAGATTTGTATTCCTAACGCTATAGTGTTCCTTTAACTTGATAAAAAAAGAAAATAAACAGTTTTAAATTTTATAAGGCTACTTAATATTACCTATCGCAGCAAACAAATGTAGGGATTCAGTTCCCCCATATGGCCATATTGTGACATGTTAAGGTCACCACTACATGGGAGACTAACAACAACTTAGAGATAAATGAACTAAACTGTATTTATTTGAACTCAAATAAATAGGCTGCATGGGAAGTCTGGATTCTAAAGCAAAGTCAGTTAAAGGGACACTTTAGTCACCAGAACAACTACAGCTTATTGAAGTTGTTCTGGTGTCTAAAGCCTGTCTTTGCAGGCTGTTTAATGTAAACACTGCCTTTTCATAGAAAAGGAAGTGTTTACATTACAGCTAAGGAACACCTCTAGTGGCTACTACTCAGACGGCCACTAGAGGAACTTCCTGGGTCACTGCTGCACAGCGCATGGAGACGCTGAACTTTCCTCATAGAGATGCAATGATTCAATGCATCTGTATGAAGTGATGCTGATCGGCCAGGGCGGCATTTAACGTCACCTCCCACCTCGCCTCCCTGGCTGAGATGATCAGAATTGACCATCTCAGCCAATCCAAAGCATTGTGATTGTCTGAGATGATCAATTCTGATGATGTCAGCCAAAGAGGTGGATCGGGGGCAGAGCCAGTTTGCGTTTTCAATTTATTTAAGGGTGGGGGAGAGCAAGGGGAACTAGCATGTTTTTGTTCCTGACCCTATAGGGTTCTTTAATGAGAATGGGCTCTAGAGTGCCACTGAAACGGAGCCTATCTTTTTGGCCCAAGAAATTGCGATCATCAGAAAATGAGCAACTTCAAAATATAAGATGGGTTCTTGACTTATCGGATGAAACATGGTTACGATGAATGCTAAATATTTCAACTCAAAGAAATAATACTTAACACTGTGACAATTTCAGAAGAATTTTTGAGTACCATGCACTGGAACCAATAACATTTTTAAACATGCTTTTGAAGATTAATTGTAGCAGTAATACAAAAGGTAATGAGAAGAACAAAACATATAAGCAACCAATGAAGCACAGTAAAATAAAATGTATGAAAAATGGAACAGAAGAAAGATAAAATATGAAATAAGGAAGATAGACTAGAAAGAGAGCATGACGAAGTAAGGTGTTCTCTGTATGGGAATAAAGTAAATTATATTTTAAAGGCGCAGCATTTCTAGTCATCTAAGTGCAGGTGGTCTGGGCAATATTTTCCACATGTGCAACCAGTCTAGTATTCCGAATATCTGTATACATCTGTTTAAACTCACTTCTTGAAAAATATGTTTACTTATGGCAAAAATAATATTGTGCTTTTTAAGTAAATTTTAAGTTGAACATTTCATGGATATTATTATGATGATATTCATTTTACACTGTGGAAACATAATATAAACCAAAAAAATATGTATATAGTTAATTTAAAGTAAAATTAAAAGGCAAAACATTTATTCTAAAGCATATGAATTAGAAGTAAAACATTAAAAAAAAATTAAAATATGCTATTTACATATTACCAAAATATGCAGCTTTAAAGGAATCTCCCCACAACTCCTAATACAAATCAAGTTGCTGGACTTCTAAGATGGTTATTTCTCAAATTGTCCAGTTTACGGAATAGTATTATAGTATACATGCTACTAGGATAAAATCTCAATCCGGCACAAATAGAGAATTGTGGTCCACTGCCTGCCGATATAGACAATTGATTAGCTTTTGGGCCCCAAATTAAATAAGCTCTGGCATCAGAAATAGACAATGAGCCATCCTACAGCATGCTAAAACGTACCTTGAGTTGGCCCTGTTTTTCAAATAATCTTCACCTGTTTCCAGCACAGCAGAAAGCTTATTGGCTGCTAATTTCACATGTTTTGTGCAGCTGTGTTTATATTATCAGTAGGTAGGACTGAGGGTTTGAAAATTGTAACACAGTTGCAACATGGCAACTACAGTGGGAAACTGGTAGATTTTCAACTTGAAATTTAAAATAATCCTTAAAGGGACACTATATTCATAAAAACAACTTTAGCTTACTTAAGCAGTTTGGCTAATATACCATGTCCCTACATTCTCACGGCTCAGTTCACATGTAGAAGTTAAATCACTTGTTTCTGTAAATGCAGCTCTAGCCACACCTCCCTTAGCTGTGACTCACAGCCTACATGCAATGGTTTAATATTCAATCAGATGTTAACTTGCTGCATACGTTTTAACTTCTGCTCTGTAAATTGAAATTTAATCAAACATAGTAGGCTCCTGCAGATTTATAAATGAAACAGAATGTGCAATAAAGGAAGTGTAAGCATTAGATTTCACTTTACAGGAAGTGTTTAGGAAGGCTATGCACCTTACATGCAGGGTGGTGTGACTAGGGCTGTATAACTCCTAAACGGCAGAGAATTGAGTAGTGAGACTGCAGGGGCATAATCTACACACCAAAACTGTTTCATTAAGCTAAAGTTCATTTGGTAACAAAAATGTGGTATAAAATACCTCTTAGTGGAGCGCTAAATAATTTGCAGGGTAATTGTAAAGCACCCCTACACAGACCAGGTAGAATTATTTAGGGCTCCACTAAGAGATATTTTATACCACATTTTTATTGCTATTTTATGTAGTGTGGATAAAAGGGTATTCCACATTAAGTGTTGAGCTGCTGATCACCAAGACACTTTATTGTACCACATATTACCTCCCATCAGAGGTAATTTTCCAGTTTTATAGAGTTCATTTGGTGCCAATAGTGTCCATTTAAAGGGAAACTATAGTGCCAGGAAGTCTGGTAGACAGCCACTAGAGGTGGAGTTAACCCTAGCAGGTAATTATTGCAGTTTAAAAAACTGCAATAATTACATGCTCAGGGTTAAGGGTGATAGGAGTTTGCACCCAGACCACTTCAATAAGCTGAAGTGGCCTGGGTGCCTACAGTGTCCCTTAAACTGATTTATGGTAAGACATTTTCAAGTGACAGTGCCACCAATCTTTACAATTTAGACCCTTCTTTAACTAGATAAATTGAATCTGAAATGTACTTGGAAAATCTGTTAAGAGGGTTGTCACTTTTTCTTAAAATATATAAATAAAAACATACATAGATACATAGTTAAATGCATACATAAATAAATATATATATGGGCCAGGCTATTGTTTGCTTGTGATTAATAATATGGTATTACTGCCATGCAGGAGATTTCTCAACGTAAAATATGTTGGGATTTATTCACCAAAGACTCAAACCAAATTACAAAAATTAGGCACTACTCACAGAAAGATTAAGATCCCAGACTGCCCTTGGCAGGCTACCAATTTGGGCCACCATTCATTCTACACATAGAGGTGGTGAGTAGGACCAAACAAATCCATGGTTCCGGAGCCTCTGTCTAACCTCTGTGCCCTAGGCAGCTGCCTCAGATCAAATTATATTAAATCCTGCTCTGGCAATAATAACTGATTTGAAAACATTCTCCAACCCAGCTATAATCACAACTTGGATAACAAGGCCTGAATGTTGGAATTTGGTTTTCAATTCTCCACAACTCCTTGTTTAGTGAATAAGACCCTTTTAGAAACACGTACTAATAAAGATAAAATAAATAAAGGGTGTTAACACATCAGTACCACTTCTATTTTTCTGTATTTAGCGCTAGTATTATTTTATTAAACAATGTGAGCTGTTAGTACATTTTTTTATATATTCACAAAGGTATTCATTGTGAGCTGCAGACAATATGTCTCTCCAGCTACTAACATATGTTTATAGTGCCAATCAGCTTGGTGCTCCTTACAAAGAGTACTGGGTTTCTCATGGTTCTTTATGCACACCCTCCCTGGGTGACCATGCTTGCCGTGTTTGGCTCATGTTGCTAGCAGGTCATGGTCGCTCTCTGGATGCTATAGAACTTGCACGTAGGAAGCACTTGAGGTGATCCTTTACTTCTTCTCCTCTTCTTAGGTTGCTCACAATGTACCTTGCCCACCTCCACATGGCAACCGCTTCAGAAGGCTCATGGGGGCTAACTGAAGAGCAAAATGTATCCACCCAGCAGTGATACAGCCCTCCCTTAGACTACCATGGAGAAGATAGAAGGACTGCAGGCCACTCACACCAGCTTTGGCTGGGCTTGGTGTGTTGACAGTGTATCAATATTTGGCAGACTTTGATTAATGACGTTTAATTGGCGTGGCGCATTGTCAATAAAATGGTGGCCTTTGCTATATCTGCATATTCAATGGTGTCATGGCATTATTAGGGTGGGGTGACAGGGATAAAAAATATTAGTGTATTTAAATCAGCAGAGGTAGGTGAGTGTGGATTTGCAGTCATGCTTTTCATGAACGATAGAAAATGGGTTGTAATAATTGAAATCTTTTTCTAGACATGTAATAAATAGATGTTGTTGCTCGATGCACATGAGTTACTGCTCTGCAAGCCTTCCATATGCCTGTTCAGCTGTTGAATACCCTGCGACAGCTGAAATGGTGAATGGGGGGGGATAATCAAATTTTTTTTTTGCTTAACATTTTGTGGAACAGTATCTTTCAAAGTACTGAATGTAGCATAAGTTAGATCTGTTGCTTTGTTGAAGTAGCATAAAGTATTGATGACCAGCAATTCTCAGTTTACTCTTGGGTTAAAACTCCCAGCATGCCTGTGGCAGAAATGGAAACAAACCTAAATAGAAGAAAACATCACCACAAAATAGGGTCAATGCGTAGCCTAGCATGTATTGTGGAGAAGTAGACAAGAGGTGGGGGTACACGAAGAAACAGAACACTAGATAAGACTTGTCTTTCTTTCTTTAATCTACTCCCTGTCATAACATTGCCGCTGATTCCCATTCTACAAACAGACACGTGGAAGAACAGAGAAAAATGCTCAAAAAAAACACACAGCAGGGCTAAATAGACCTGGCACGGAAATATGAAGGTCAGGAGTGACTTGAAAGGGGTGAAACAGGGGGTATTGAACCACCCCAGGCCTAGGATAAAAAGGGAGCTTTAACACAATGATGTCACATTATTTGATTGCCAAATACATGCAATTAACCCTGTCACTGTTAAAGGAGACAACACTAAATTAGGGTTTTACTCATATCCATTAGCTTAAAAGAAAAAGTTTAATTCTAATTTTAATGTAAACTGTTTTCATCAGATAGAAAACGTAACAAACAAATTCAGTATTTCTTTTCAGGACAGATGCATCATACTTGTATCAGTAGACATGTTTACCGTATTATGTTTATAAAACACAAACATTGACGAAACTTAGAATTGTTGAGAATTCAGAGTGGACTTAAAATTAATTTAAAATTCGAGACCAAAGTCGTCAAGCTAGAATAATTCTCCACAACAGTTACGATTCCAGTCCGCTTACTTTGGCCTTAAATTTGAAATTCAGTTTGAATTCACTCTTAATTCCTGACAATTCTCAATTTTGTAAATAACCCTGAAAGTGTTCAGTATTAATGATAGGAGTTAGGCCAGAATATGTAGAGCTTGAAAAGAAAGATGAGGGTCTTGGGTCACACATGGTAAACATAAAGCACGATAATCAACAATGACAAATGATAATTGGAAATACCCAGGTTTCCTTTGCTAAAGAACATACAATAAACTGCAGGCAGTACTGTAGCCTCCGTATTACTTAATGGTTTAAGTAAGAGCATTAAGCTTAAAATGTTAGTTTGCTGTGCATTGATCTGCTTTTCTCTTCGCTTTTGAGAATCATTTTTTCTCTTTCAGGTTAGAAATTCTACCAATCTCTGTTTAAGATACTTGTTCAATGGTGCCTGCACATAGGCCTTATACTAACTATGTCACATTTATGATTTCCATACAAGTTACACATCTCAAAAACTGGACATTAACGTTAGTAAATTAATTGTAATATTAAATTGAACCAATTATGTAACACTGATATATATCAGGGCCAGCATCAGGGAGGTAAAGGCATTGATCTAGTAGTAGATGGGCCTAATTGGACACTGGAACACAATGTTTCCTGGTTTTCATTATTGGACAACATTGAAAATCACTCACGACATGCGCCAATTAGCAGACTGTCTGAAAATACCAAAATCAGCCATGCAGTCATATCACTTCCTCCCAGCACACAGAAGGGGATTGAAAGAAAAGTCGGTAACTTGGTCTACCCATCCCACGGAACTACGAGGAACAAGGTAGGACAACAGGTGAATGGCTAAAATAATTGATAGTGTGTAACTGAACAGGTATCTGGGAGTGTTTGTGCATGTGTTTGTGTATAACTATGAGTGCATGTTTGGCAATGTTTTTGTTTGTATGCTCGTGTGTGTCTACATGTCTATGTATATGTGTGTGTGTGAGTGTTTACCAGTGTGTGTATGTGATTGTGTGTTGGGGAGTATATTTATGGGGGAGACCCTGGACATTTCTTTAGTAAGGAGCTCCAAAATTTCTGATGGTAGCCCATATATGCAGTTAGTTTATACTTGTGAACATGCAAAAATTGAGAACAAACGTGCAAAATTTAAGCAAAACCAAGCTGCCTTAAATCTGTAACTTAGCTATACTAATACTAATTTAGCTAATTTTGCTATTTTGAACTTTATTTTGCAAATCAGTTTTTCACTCTCTTTTCACTGAATTCATGTATATGCCAAATTGAAATACATTTACAATAAAAATATACATTAATCATCAGAGAAGACTATAATAAAGTTTGTGAACATGTTTACAAAATTATTTATTCATGATACTTTTGATAACATATTTTCTGCCTGTTGTTCCGATAATATATTCCTTGGTAAATACCGCATGTAGACTTTTACATTTGATTTTGGTTTTTAGACCTCACAAACACATATTTGTAGATTATGGGGAATAAGGAAGCCTAATATCAAAAAGTCCTGTGATGATTAATTTTTAATTATTGATAACTTGGTTTATGTCTCATACAATGAAAGAGCATAGAGGATGTATTTTAGTCATGTGTGAACTGCATTTTATATGGTGTATTGGCAACTTCTCACCACTACCAAACATTCTTCATAACATATCGACTTATCAAACTTTTTTTTTTTTTTAATGTGTTAATAAGTTCAAAACATTTTGTGAAATGACTGAAAAGTTTAAAAAAGTGATGCTGACATAAATTAACGTTTACAGCAAATGATTGGGTCTCACATTTTTAAGAACTGCTTTGGGTTTAATTGTGTGGAATAACATTTTTCAGATTGTATCTGCCCCTTTTAGAAAGCATGAAATATTACTATGCCCTGCCAATCTGGCAGCAGATGGGTTAAGAAAAGGGAGTGGCCAAAGGAGATACAAAGTGCCAAGTCAGTGGTTGAAGAAACCCCATTGACTTCCCTGGCCGGCATCCAACCCTATTGTAAAAGTCAGGTATTTTGCAATGTATTAGGAGTCCTAATGTATTACTGGGATTTACCTTGTCAGGCTTGGAGCTGTTGCTGTATTTTCATTGCGCTGAGTGTCTGCAGCACATAATGGTGAGGGATTACGGGCGTCTATTCCGATGTCATGCAACTATTCCACTAATCACTAATTGTATTGTTCTAAAGCTCCTGCTTTTCTCCACAGTAACTTTCTATTATATTTTGGGGGGTACTACAGCGTTCCTTTTTTTTTCTTAACTTTTTTTTGTACTTGACTGTTGGTTTGAAAAATAAATGCTGTCTATCATTTTAGCATCAGTAGTTGCAAACTTGATCATTCATACCGGCTTCACATTTTTGACTGAAAAAAGTCTTCATAGTTCTGAGTAGTGTTCATTTCAAATATTCATTGTCAATAAAGAATTGGCATTTGTAACGGCACCCCCAGGCATAAAAGGGTTAAACCGCCGTTTAGTCGATCTTCCCCTTCCAGAGATACAGGCACAGCTACTGCAGAACACCAAACACACGAACCACATATAAGCTCTAAACTCCAGAACTGGAACCTCACGAATAGCTGCTAGCAGACAAATAGGAAAAGCACCCAAGCGGCTTACACTCCTAGCAATCAGTCTCTATCAGCATATAGTAAATCCCCCCAAAGAAGAGACAAGGCTCCGTGTTGAGGGTCAAGCAGTGGTCTGTTTAATGAGGGCTACCTGCCCAGTATTTATGCAGGTCTTCCACCTGGTGGACACTCCCCTAGAGGACCAGATGGAAGACTGTGACAAAGACATTGTAGCAACCAATCACAGGGTACACACTTAGCCATTCCCCTTTCCTTACCCAGAACCCTCTGCTCTGCTCAGGGAGATAATTGTGAAGTAATTCAGTTATCTCCCAGGACAGAGCCTAAATGCCATTTTAGATGAAAATAACAAAAGACATAAAAATATATAACTGGTACATTTTATAACATTTTACAGGCATTCAACATGTCCCCAGATAGCTAGGATCTGAGCACACCAAAGTACCGAATAGCGCTCAGATCCTATGCACACAGTCCAATCGCTGTGGAGCCAAAGTATTCACAAAGTCAGTTTTCATACGAATGAGCTCCACGGGATTCCTATCTGGGGTATGGTGTATTCAGGTACAAACTACCGAATATAGGGCCGTTCGTGCACTTCTACCGAACAAGAAGGGAGGTCGGTGGTTTCAGCGGTGTTCGTGTCAAAATGTATCCGTTTTCAGTTCCATGAGTTGGGCGTCGAACACCGCTGTGCGTTCGTGTGTTTAAAATGGCCGCGACCTCGTGTTCGGTATACGAATGGCGGCCACCCAGCATTCGTCAATTAAGCTGCGGTTAACCGCAGCTTCTGGGAGGTTAATTGCCGACACACTCCAGCTCCCAGGTGGTCCAGTCATTCGTGCGTTAATTTGGTGGATTGAATCTACCGAACACCGCGCAGAAAGGCACGAATAAGCCTTTTCTGCAGGGGAAAAGAAGTCTTTTAACATGGGGCCATAATCCAAAGGCAACAGACGAGCAACCAGGCTTCTCCAATGGTCTTGTCACAGCATTTATTTATTTTTTGCTTTAAACTAAAGAAATATGATTACCAAACCTTAAAGTAACACAATGAGGAACTTTACATTTCCCCGACAAACTTTGTAAAATAGGAGAAGTTGATAAGGGCCTTGTGGTATTTAGGTGGCCACACAAGTACACTCCTCCCTTGCTTGGTTCCTGGATGCAGGATCATTTCATAGGAAAGCATTGTACAATGAAATTACAGTGTTGTGTTCAATTATGTTGTCATGTTAAAG